CGATACATTTCGCATCATGCGGATCATTAAAAAGATCCGTATTGCCCATCTCTAGTGCGAAGCCAGTCTATGGCATGGACCACAAAACATAATAATACAGCATAGATTAGACGCAGGAGGAATCCTCACAACAGCCACAGGCGTTGCATAGTCCTTCTTCTTCTTCAAGTAAGTTGTCGGATGGAGCTTTCCACTGATTGGGCGCGTCACAATGCGAAGAGAGATAGCTTCTATGAAAGTACATGCTATCTCTATCTCCCCGAATGTGATTCGCTGTTCCTGTCACGTGGGCTTAGGCATGAGGCCGGCGAGAGATAGCAATTACCTTCAAAGGAACTATTTCTATTGTCATAGTGCGTACTACACCAGTAGGTACAAAGTAAGTATTGCTTTATGCCAGTAGGCACTGAGTACCAATGAATCTAAACATGACAATTGACACATACTTTGCAGTTAATAAGCTGCTTTCGAATTAGCATAGATAATAACCACAATGAAACATTAAAAACTTAGCTCCACATAGTATCGAAAAGTGTTTCTGAAGTACATTTTTTGTCAATTGGAAATCAGTTTATATCCCAAAGGGTGACCTTCGCGAGTAGGTACAAAATAAAAGTTTGTTTTAGTAGGCATTAAATTTCTAATAGCACGAAATTTTTCAAATTAAAGTGCTTTTCTAAAGGCGGTTCCGTATGCATCTGAGGTCGCTACACACGCTGTGATGGTTGGTATTTTTGCGACTGCTTCCCTTAAGGAAAAAAGTTGAAAATTCCAAAAACTGGTGGAGCTAGAGATGAATTGAATGCGGTTTTGGATTGGTCAGGCCGTTATAGTTCACTGGAATTTTTCACTTTCATGGCAAGCGATTCCATATGCAACAGTATATATTAATATTGTATTATTCTTCATCAGGTAATGCTTTTTGCCAATAAAATTATCATCAACAATTTATAATGAAATACAAATAAATATTATTTGAATTGGGCACGACAGGCCACCAAAAAAATCGTTACGTACCTGTATGTATACTTTTCATCGTGAATGACGCTTGTGAAACATGATTTAGCAGGATGGCTAGAGTCACTGATCTCTAAAAGTCAAAGCTCCACAGTTTGTATTTTAGTAGGAATCAAAATGTCTATTATATTAAATAGTTTATTTTAATGACATTATAACAATAAATATTTTACAACAATAAAAACGCTTTCAATCTAATTAGCTAAACTTAATAACAGAGCCGTTCCCCGTTTTATCCAAAAGTCCGCCGTTTCCATGCCGCTTTTCAAATCAACTGCAACCACATAAGCAGGCCGAAAAGCGGCACCGGTTCTTACGGGATAATAATAACAGGGGCAGGAATATAATCCTGAAATTAAAAAAAATATAAAAATTTGTGTTGCCGGTCAGGCACAAAAAAGAAACGTGTAAAATAATAATCTCCCGAAAAAATACACACGTTTAAATCATAGTAGGCTTTTACGATTACCTTGAAGAAATGAAATCCAAAATCATTGGCACCACTAGAAAGGTTAAGAGATAACTTACCTCTAGTTTTCTTTTTCAACTGCTCAACGGGCTTAAAATGTATTAAAGGCATGGCGCACACCAACTGCATCGGTTGGGGTTCGATAAGCATTGCATTCTTCTTGTCCCATCCGGCACCTTCAAGGTAGGTACTTTTTACGTACACCCCATTATCTGGAGTTAATTGGATCTGATTTTCATCCACTGTCAATACCGTAAATTCCCAGCTCAATGTGTCTATGGGCACTTCGTTAGCTCGGGCAGACATCTGTAATAATTTGTTTGCTTTTATTTTGTTCAACTTATATAGAGTGGCCCAAAATAGATAATAGCAACTTTAACAGCAGAAACTAGTTAAAATAGAAAAATTTCTTATGGAAAGGCCCGTTGTGTAATAAGAGTATTGTGCTTCTCAGACATTAATAAAAACCCGTGACAGCTCACCAAAATTAAAACGGTCGTATATCGATAATGAAGCATGGGACTCGTACCATTTTTAGAGAATGATATCAGCACTAGGTGATTATCCAGTCAATCTAATATCGAGTTATAAGACGAATCTGCTTCATCCTTATCATATCCAAAATATTCAACAATTGTTGCCCCAAGATTTAGGCCAAAGACTGACTTTTTGTAATTTGATTTTGCGTCAGGGTATAAGGTTTCATGAGAAGATTTTTTTTACGGACGAAACCCGTTTCACTCCAAGAGGAATCACAAATTGCATAATTTCCATGAATATTCGGATGAAAATCCACATGCAATAATTCCTCACCATTTTCAAAATGAATTTAAAATAAACATGTGAGTTAGTATTGTTGGATGTTTTTTAGTTGGGCCAGTTATTCTACCAAACCGACTGAATGGTGAAAATTATTTTTTTCACAAAACAGCCAAAACACTCCCCGAGCTACTTGAGGATATACCTTTGCAATTAAGACGTCAAATGTGATTTATGCACGATGATGTTCCACCACATTTTAGTACTAACTAAAACCAGCAATTCCCAAATACAGGGTGTCCCGAAATTCATGCAACAAAATTTGGTCATAGATTCTTAAGACAAATTTAGAGGTCCTGTATTTTTTAATTTTGCCAACTGGCCCCCTCTTTCGGAGTTACAGCCCCTTGAATTCTGCCCCTAAGAAGTTTTTATATCAAAACCATGTTGTACGAGAATCACTAAATTTGATACACAGGGATTTTATGACATGTGGAATTTCAAAGTGCTACGTTTTTTGGCGAGAAACCCCCTCAAGACACTTTTTCGTGGGCCCCCTTGTCTTTGGAACCAGAAAAATTTGGTGGAATTTATGATTTTTTTTTAAATTATTAGCTAGAAAGCCATTGAATGTAGAAACTTTTTTGTCTCTTGATATTTGTTTCGTAAAACGCAATGTTTTTGAGGAAAATGGCGAATCACGATATGCATTCGATCACATTTTGACATTTTTCTCGAAAACATTGTGTTTTACGAAAAAAGTATAAAGAGACAAAATGTTTCTAAATTTAATGGCTTTCTAGTGCTGATAATTTTTAAGAAATGTAAATATGTGGCCAAATTTTTTTGGCTCCAAACACAAGGGGGCCCACGAAAATTTGTCTTAAGGGGGTTCCCCGCCAAAAAACGTAGCACCATCAGATTCCAAATGTCATAAAACCCCTGTGTACCAAATTTAGTGATTCTCGTACAACAGGGTTTGAGGATATAAAAAAAAGATTATTCTTAGGGGCGGACTTCAGGGGACTGTAACTCCGAAAGAGGGGGCCACTTGGCAAAAATAAAAAATACGGGTCCCCTAAATTTGCCTTAAGAAACTGTGACCAAATTTTGTTGCATGAATTTCGGGACACCCTGTATATGGTTAGGACGATGAAACAATTTTTCAGAAAATGGACCACCAAGATTACCAGATTTGAATAAATGTGATTTCTTTCTCTGGGGGGCTTTAAAATAATTTATTTATTTTACACCGGTTGTAACTGAAGCAGATTTATGGAATCGTATAATAATAAATGCAACACTATAAAAAATTATCCACAGTGGACTTTAATTTTTGGCGGAGGGTAAATTTGTTATTGTAGTGCTATTTGACGATATCGGTAGTTCATGTGGTTAAAGTTAAATTTGTTAATGTTTTGTTTGTATGGTTCCTCTTTTTTTAATACGTTAAAAACAAACAGAATTTAATTTAATGCAATTGCTTTTTTTTATACTATTTTGTAAACGTCAATAATGACACATGAAATCATGGCCTACTAGTCGTAAAACTTTTTGTCCTATTCAATTAGTAATGACGCCGTAACACAAAATCTCGATTTTCTCAAAAACCGTTGTTTTAAAAAAAATTTGTAATAAAAAATTTTTAAAATCAAATTTCATGTAATACTGGTAAAACTATTTAATAATTGGTATATTGACGAAAAAATCTATATAATTTTAACGGTGCCCTATCCCTTTTTGAGCTTCCAACAAATTAATATTTTTACCAAAGATAACAATAAACGCAAATCATGTACCAAATTTGGTTGCTCCATGTTAAGGCATTGCTGAAATGATTCAGAGGCCAATTCCTCTTCAATGGTACATCCCAGAAAAAAAACAAATCCGCACATTTTAAGATCCTCTACACGTGCCCGCTCTGCGTCGGTAGAGTTATGAAACGCCCTGTGTATATATTTTTTATCAATTCACTTTTTATTACCTGTAAAACAGCAGTGAGAAAGCCCGTGGGAAAAGTGTACGCGGCTAGCCAGAAAAACAGGGGAGCGTGTGTCGTTACAGCCCATACCGTGAAATACTCTATCCTGGCGGACAACTCTCTCGCCCACGATCCCAACAGTTTCAGAGATGGATACGCTATGAAAATGAATAAAAGGGTTAATTATTCCATTCGGTTTCGTAATATTTTACAAATTTAAAAAATATATCAAATGTACCAACGTTACCTTTCAACCACGCGGGCGGGACTCGTCCCTCATATATACAAGTGAATATTTCTTCTAAATCGGAAGACATCACCACCAAGCCCTTAATACCTTTCTGGAGGTCTACCAGAGACAAATTTATAGAGTTCAAAAGGGTGTTATACCTAAAATAATCAACTTTATTTTGCATTCCTTCGATATTCACCCTCTACCTTTGTATCTCTTGCAATAGAACGACATCTAAAGGCGACTTATGTTGACCGATAAGCTTGTCCGTTTGCTCGTAATCTATAGTCGACGGCAACTTTGACAAAACGTCACTAGCCAGTTGAGCAACTTTTTCTTCTTTGGAAGCCTCTGCGCTCGCCGTGCTCTGTATCTGCAGCGACATCAGCGTTTCGAATAGGTTGCGAGACTCAGATATTAAACTCGTTATATCTGCGTTGGGGTGCTGGCCAAACGCCTCCGGCCTGTCAACGGCCGGTAATACCGTAATGTAGTCCAAGTACGACTGAATCGAGCCGTCGCGGGGGATATAGTAAGTCGGGAGAGAAGACAATCTGAAATAAGTCAGCTGTAAATTCACGTTTTTAACATTTTCATTTCGATGGAATACCTGAAATAAACGATATTAAGAGCATCGTCACAAAAGTACTGGTTGATGTACGTCGTAAGTAAGCGCCTGTCCCAATCGTCGGTCACGTGGCCCCCGTAGCTCACGCCGGCTATTAAATATTTAAGCGCATCCCAAGGGGTGGATTGGTACTCGTTTAAATAGATGGTGAGTAGATTTTCTGATACCTGGAAGTGAAAATATATGTAAAATAACGTCCCAATTTTGCTAGAAGAGTGTTACCATAAAATCGGAATCGTTGAAGCTATAAATCACGTTCCACCCAAGCTGCTGGAATTTCTTTCTCTCCAGGAGGATGGCGTGGAAAAAGCATAAGCTAAACAACAGTTTTTTATACTTTTCCGGATACTGACAACTAGTGAACTGGTCTTCACTAATCAGCTGGTACAACCTCTTCAAATTAGCTTTCAGGCCCTATTAAAAATTGTTAGACAAAATTAGTACCAATTTTTTCGGTGTGTATTCATATATTACTTTCGGAGGCTCCGTCGTCATCTTTATACCCGCCTGAAGGATGGAGATGGGAAATTCCGGATTGGGACTGGAACTCAGCCACACCCTAAAGTTGGGGTGGATCTTTCCCGACTGCATCACCTCAATTATTTTGTCTAATTTCGGCATCCAACTTAAGGACAAATGACAATTTGCCAGAAATATCCAGAGCCCGTCCCTGGCACCGTTCTGCAGCAATCTATAAGCACATATAAAAAAAACATGTTAAAAAAGTGTTAGTTGCAAGTATAAGGCACCAGTCGGGATGGACATACCAAACTCCATATTTACACGCAAAAATAATAAAATGAATAAAATGTAGTTATTCGCATGTAGCAGTCAGGTACATACATACATTGCCTTAATCTTAATAGTAATAAAAAAATTAATAAAATAGGTTTTCAATGTCAATTTTTACTAAGAAAATTGGCAAACTTTGGCTTCTGTAACAACTTTGTTAATTTCATTAGATATTATTTATACAACAGAAAGCAAACTGTACTTGTATGGTTTTGACTACCAGTTATGTTGCCTCTTCTGGGATATCTCAGGGTTCGACTCTTGACCCCCCGCTGTTCATTCTATTTATAAATGATCTTAGCAATATAATCAACCTCTGTAAACTGTTTTGTGCAGATGATTTAACAATTTTTTTCAAGTGTAACTTACTTAAATAACTGTAACATTGCAACAATAAGGTTTTTCCAGCTGTAAATATTTAACTATAACTCTTTCTCTATGGATCACCCTGTATATCTTATGTTAATATTTGATTGATATTTTCATTACTTCATTGTCGAGTCAGGTACTGAACAATATTAACTTTTATGGCATTTTTATTTATTGTTGCAGAAACTGTCGTACCCATGATAAAATTATAATAGAGTATATTTCTGCATTTATTTATAATTCTTTTGTTATTTAATGTAAAACTTATTTTTAATTTAACTTAAAAATAGAAAATGTTGGACAATAAGGAAAGAGATCAACAAATGATTATTATCATTACCTGGTAGCGATGGGCGCCTGCCCCTGCCCCAAACTGATCGAATTAAAGAACTTGCTCATTCCGACATTTTCGGCCAGTTGCATTAACGCCCCGGTAGGGTCAACCCCTGGCGAGAGCACAAATATAAGCGGCGTTTGCGGTATAGACTCTTCCAGCACCGCCCTGATGTCTAGAACGGGGGGCTCGACAAACTGGGGACCCAGTTGATTGACAATGAAGTTCGAAATGGCAAACGAGACACGGTCCTGTCTAAGCGATCGGATAAAAAGCATCCTTTGAAACTCGTTGCATATACTCTCCCATTCTCCTAAAGCATACAAACATATTGTAGAGTTGATTTCTTTATGGAAAAATGGCGGATCTACCTATAAGTGGTAGCGTTTCTGGTTCGGTATGGATATACCATAAGTACCAATCCCTAGAATATTGCTCAAAGCTGTCCGTTACGCCATGGAAGCCTTGCAATGTGTCCAGTTCCGTTATGTTGTCCCAGGCTATTTCATTTAACCAACCTGAACAGTGAATGTATTAGTTTAATATCTAATAAGAATGTTCCGAGCTGAGAAATATTACTTTCTTTCCGGCTGTGAAAAATTGATAATTTATATATACAGTGTGTTTGGTAAGTCGATGCATTCCTTACAAGTGATTTGTGATATATTTCCTTAACATACCATATTCCGAAAACGCTTAGTTTTCGACCTACAGGGTGTTTTAATAAAAAAATGCATTTATCAGAATATTTTAATGAAATTTTACGGGTTTTAACTGTTAACAACAATACATGTTTTACGATAAAAATATTGTTTTCAGTTTCACCAATGCGTGCGCACAGGCATGTCTCCAGATATTGTTAAAGAAAAAAATGATACACCAATGATTTTTCTTAAAATAAAAAATTATTTCTGAATTCCTTGTTCAATTTGGAAGAGAACAGGTGTCTCGACTGTTTTTCTTATGACGCACCGTTTTCGAGTAAATAAATTAAATTTGATTTATTGCATGGCATAATCTGGTTTCAATAATTTGAAAAATAGCGGAAATTATGCACTTGAGTAACTGCTTCATACTCAAACACTCAAAGTGACAGCTATTATTAATTTTGTCAAACAATAACAAAAACGAGTGCGTAGCCAACTTGATAATTTCTGTTTAGATAGTGAATAGTGAATCTAAAAACTGATAAAAATTTTTTAGACTGATATTAACTGCGAGAAATAATAATTTTTTTTAATAAAATTGGTAGAAAAAAAAGCTGCTACCTTTTCTCTTCCAAATTAAACAAGTAATTGAAAAATAACTTTTATTTTAAGAAAATCAGTGACGTATCATTTTTTTCTTTAAAAATATCCAAAGACGTGCCTGTGCGCACGCCACTGGTTAAACTAAAAACAATATTTTTATGTTCAAATATGTATTGATGTTAATTGTCAAAGTTTGTAAAATTTCATTAAAATATTCTGAGCGGTTTCCACAATATTTATAAATTTGCATTTTTTTATTAAAACTTTATCACCATGTAGATCAGAAACTAAGCGTTTTCGGAATATGGTATATTAAGAAAATATATCACATATCACTTGTACCATAACCTCCTGCAAGGAAGGCATCGACTTACCAAACACCCTGTATATAAAAAAAAATAGTAAATAATAGTAAATAAATTAATAGTAAAAATAAAACAGTAGTGAAAATGGCTTTTTGGAAAAAAATTTCTCAGCAGGAACCACATCTCAATGTTTTGACCACCAATACATTAGATACATCCTGGGCCCTGTGTATTTTAATGGAGATAGCGAGATACTGTTTTCATTAAATTTTTCTCGAAATTTATGGCTGAGACGTTTGAACTACTTTTTGCCTATTTCCTAGGCAAATGACAAATACTTCTTAAAAATGTAGAAATTGACTCACTTCCTACATTATTTTGAATCACATTTTAGTGTAATATACAGGGTGTCATATAATCATTCTGCTATCATTAGAATTTACATGGAAAACTAAAGAAAGTTAATAAGCCCAAAAATGCTTCCTAAGGTTCCACTTCTGGGATTTTTATTGCAGTTAGAAAAATTACATATAGTTTATTATAAAAGAAATGTGCCCTTATTGGATTTCAAAAGGCCTGTAATTCCATATTTACAGATTAGTGTTTATTAGAACTTTTTTCTCAATTTGAATGTGGAATAATAATGGAACACCTTGTATACATGCTGAACCGACAGACATTTTAAAGAGGTTTCCATCATTTCCCAAGAAAACAGACAAAAAGTAGTTCAAATGTCTCAGACATAATTTATGAAAAAAATTAACAGCAAAATTTGGGGACATGTTTTTGTGAACTGATGTACGTATGTATGTACAGTAGAACCTCGATAATCCGAACCCCAGTAATCCGAACGCAGTTTTGGAAAAAATAAAAATATGTAGTATGTAATCAGAATCGCTCTCTAACTGCTACAGTAAACAGAGCATCACCGTAGTACGAAATTCATGTGCAATACATTACATAAAATATAGTTACCTTACTGTAGCACAGTAGTATGTATTTCATAAAACAAACTATTTTGTACCTTTAACAATACAACGTGCTCCTTATTTTATGGGAAATAGTATGTCAGTGTTCATTTTTTGCATGCTACTATGCCTGGAAAGCACTTTGTTTGGTAATCCGAAGGATTCGATAGTCCGAACCACCCCCGGTCCCAATTAGTTCGGATTATCGAGGTTCTACTGTATGTATGTATGTCGGAGGGGTGGTGGAATTGTCTTCCACCACGGCACTTAGGCCTTATTAGGCCCCTTGTACACCCTCCTTCACTACTCGAGTACTTTTCTTCAAACCATCTTATTTACTACACGGATGGCTTGGGGGCAAAGTCTCGTACAGTTTATGTATGATAGCATGGTCTTGAGTTACAGAGATTTCTTGCTCTGCTCTCATTACCATTTATCGGGGACCACACGCGTGTGGCAAATGTTGGGCGACCCAGGTCTCTTGGTAGGCTGCCACAGCCAAGTCCACGAGCCTGCCTTAGGTCACCCATCCAAATTCCAGCCCACGTCCGTGATGCTTGACTCGGCAGATCGAAATCCGCCGGCCAAGACATCCGGCTAGGCGGTCCCCTTTTGTGAACTGATATTTTCAAATGTATTTATTAGCATTTTTTAAATATTCTTTAATATAAAATTTAGTAAACGCGGCACAATAATTATGGGAAATACTGTATTAATTGATTAATAAATAATAAAAACTCAGTATTACCTATACAAGGATTCTCCCTCTGGGTTTCCCTGTCTAACACGACTCCACCCTTAAGTAGAAAATTATATTCCGCCGGTACGATTTTGCCCTGCGCCGTTAGTATCTTGATGCACATGTGGAACGAGAAGAGCAACTTGTGCTGCTCAAACAACGCCCTGCAGGTGTTTCTGTTAAAATACAAAGCACAGGTTAACACCTAATAAATTTAAGTTACGCGTCCTTATTTACGTGTACACGGAATATGTGTGGTACTCGTTCAGGGCTATTATTCTTTCATTCAGATGGACCGCCTTCGGACTCTTATTAATCGAGTTCGTAAACAGCAGAATGTACGAGTCCAACGCAAATTGGTACATGGGATCTATCTTGCCCATATCGTTTAATACAAAGAACAGTATGGCCGCCCTCTTGGCACAAGGTCGATAGCCCTAAAACAAATTTAATGCTACTAATGACCGCAGAAATTACATCCCCATCTCTAACACAAAAGAGTACTTAAATAAAATCTAAAAAATCGACTTTTATTGTAAATAATTTTTTTTACACATGACTTGGCAAATTCACATGATTTCGTTCCATGTGAATAGATTTAAGATTCATCTTGTACTGTTCGATAAGAAATAAAAAATTCGGCCAACTAATCCCTAACACCCCGTATAACTCACCTCTCTGGCGCTATCAATCTGTACTTCCGTCTTCTCCGACACTTCCAAACTCTTCTTGACGGCTTCGGAGGTAGCTTTGGATGTTTGCAGAGTGTTGAACAATTCCGCATCCTCCAATAGAGACCCACGGGTTTCATTTAGCAGCTTTAATAATTCGCTTTCCAGGTCAAGTAAAGTCCTTTTGCCTTTAAGATGTTAAAATTGAGTTGGTGTTTAATCAAATTGTAAATAAACACGAACCTTTCGCTATAGTAGTCACAAGTTGATCTTTCTGCTCCTCCAGCTGAGGTTTTTCTTTCCTAACAACAATGCCGAGAAGTTGCGCCTCGAGGCCTTGTTCCTTCACGGCAAAATTGACCAGCGTGGTCTTAGTAGAAATTTCGGGGGGATAATGGGGGTTGGTTAATTTTGTGGTAATGAAAAATTTGAAATTGTCATGGTACGACACCATTTTGTCGTCTAGTTTGATCAGGTTCATTCCCCCTTGCTTCACTACGGCTTTTCCCAATATGGGATTTAACGAAGGGTCCATAGTTTCCGAAATGTTCTGTAATAGTACCGGCAACCCCGCCTGGACGGCTTTCTCGACAATGCTCATATAGTTCGGCATACCCAAATCTATAACCTAAAGGGTGAAATACAAAAAGTTGTACGGGGCGTAACACAACAAAGTATCAATAATAAAGAAGCGTTTTTCTCGTCCAAATGTAGGAATACTCTTATAGTTATAGTTTCCATACCTCTGACGTTAATTTTTCGTGCACAAATCAATGGTGTTCATACGAAGTTACAGCAAGTCAGTGGAAAGAAAACTTTTCTCATAGATAAATAGATAAATTTTTTTTGCAACAAGAACTTCAAGAGAATATTCTTAAATTTAGACAGGGAAACGTTCCTTAATTTTTTGCACTTTGTGCTACAGAATTCCGTTTCGTAAATTACTTGCAAATTATTCTGCGACTCCATGGCTTTGATCCACTTTTGCGCCTGACATTGGGGATCTATTACTAACGGCCACCTAGATCCGTAGGTTACGATAATTCCGTTCTCAGTACTGAAAGCGTCAGCGGGAAGACCTTGTATATTCCATTCTCTGATCGTCGTTGGGTCGGCCAGGAAGTAAGTGACATTAAAGTCGTACGAGTATATAATCTCTAATTTAGCCGTCTAAAATTGTAAAAAAAAACCATAAGCAATACAGTCATAAATAAATCAAACTCCATTTCCAGCCGAGGTAAAAATTATTCGTACCTCGGTCTGCCACAACGTCATCATTTCCTCTCTGTAACTGGACACGAAGGGGCCCATATAGGACACAAAAGCCGTTGCTAGTAAACAATCGCCTGGCAAGAAGTCAAATTTTTTGTCCAGCATGTTGACAGTTTCGTCCCACCTGTCCCGTTCTCCCGATAAGCAGTCAACCAAAGTGGCCGCCCTCTCCAGTTTTAATTTCAGTAATTCCGCCTAATTAAAAACAATTTAATGAAATTTAACGTTTAGTTTTAAAAATTTTATAACTCACTTTTCTGTTAAGTTCCTCCTTTTGTGCCAATTTTTCCTCGTATTCTTTCTGGAGTTTCTGGAGCGTCATGTTCAGTTCGGCTAATTTCGACTGCGCCTCGGCCAACATTAATTGTTTTTCTTTCAGGGATTCCAAGGCTTCGTCAAGTTTCGCCTTCTTAGGGCCGACGATCCTACAAAAAATACACATAAATAGTAGTAAGTCGCGTTTGTAAACATGTTCTCCATTACTTCCAAACTTTGGCGTATTTTTCAATGGCGATGACCCACAAGCATAGCGATTTCGCTGCTAAGGACACCATCCCGACTTTCTCTGGGACAAATTCGTCGCTAGTCGTATAAGTCGAGATTTTTTTCAAAGTTCTATCTGAAATGTGGTTCTTGTCGAATTCCTTCAAATCCCTAAGGAAGTTTATATCTGCCAATAGTTTTTTTGCCGATTCCCAAGAGGGGTCGATCTAAAAATTAAATATTTCATGACATTCAAAGATAATAGTATTTTACATTTATTACCCCTCTCAGTATATTCACAGCTTCCATGACCATTTTTACTTTCTGTGGCGGCGTGCCGTATGACTTCATTTCACTGATATCTTTTTTACTGAGCGAATCGAGAGCTTTGACAGCTTCCTCTAAAGCGGGCATAGCCTCGTCCAAGTCCGCTTGAGCCACGTCTGCCATTCTTTTACACTGCACCTCTTCTTCGCCTATCTTTATGCTCTTTTTAGTTACTTCTTTCTGAAATTGAAAAAAATTTCACAATTACATGAAAAATTAGAGCAAATATCTACTTTCGTGACATTCTGCATTACTTACATATAAAAGAACTCAAGATAAAAACAACAGAATCGTCAAACACTAACCTGTTGTTCGTCAGCTTCCTTTCTTTGTGCGACAATAATAACTAGATAATCGTCGCACTGCTGCTGAAACTCGGCCACCTTTACTTGAGCTTCCGCTAATTCCACAGACATCGTAGTCACTTTTTCTTTGCAGTCGTCGATTTTTCCTAGGCCGTTTCGTAATTTATTAGCCTGCGACGCCGTTTCTTCTCTTTTGTCCGACAGCATTCTGTGATTAAATTTGTGATTAAAGTTAATAGTAAAGACCGACGTTACTTTAAATTACACTTTATATCCCGCCACAAGCTCTAGATAATTAGTAGGCGTAACATAATTGTGTCTCTTCATTTCCATCAGCATTTTTTTAGAGCACTTTGCCACAGAATCGTGTACGGTGGCGAATATCAACGACATGCCCTCAACCATTTTGTCTTGGGCGGACGAGAACAGCGATTCACCCTTACGTACCTAAAATAACATACTGTATCCGACGTAACTTGAAGTTAAGAAATGACTTGACGTACGGTTTCACCAGTAATCGTCTGCACAAAATTGACATTTGAAATGTACTTATGTGCCACTTCCAAAAGAGCTTCCTTGGGCCATTCCCTAAACCAATCTATGGTGGAGCAGTTTATCAAAGCCGGGTATTGTCGCAACCTGTTCCTAAACGAATCCCCGATTGGGCTCATGCACAAGATAATGTGCAGGTTAGCCCTTACTCGCTGTATCAGGAACTCGTACATCGCTTCATTAGTACGCATGATACCTGCCTTGGCAGCGGCGCTGTCCAATTTTCCTTTTACCTAATGGGAGATTTGTTTCATTTATACAGTGAGCGGCAAAAGTATGAAATATATTTATTTAAAAATCAGATGTTCGTTATTTCAAAAATCGCTCGGACCTGTCGAATTATATTTTTAGTTGCACATTTTCTGAAGAATTTTCCATTTATACAGGGTGGCCCAAAAAAAGTTATGAAATCAAGGCCAACTTTTTTAAATGGAAACCCCACTTTTTTGTATTTTTGTTAAATTCTCCATGGAATTCTGATTATTTATGGAACATAACCTATACCTATCTTTAATCGTTTTCGAGATAATAATAATAGTTACTCTTTGTCAAAAAAACTCGTATAAACCAATTATGCAATTATGTAAAATGGTGTAAAAATGATCCCGCATATTAGTACGTATACAGGGTGTTTGTAAATAAGTGCGAAATATTTTAGTAGGTGGTTGCCGAAGTTGTTTTGTGGAATAAGGTTCATAAAAAAGTAATGGAATCATAAATTAAAAGAAGGAACACAAAATTTTGCACTTACCTCCTCAAACTCGTCGGATTTATACAAATTGGCAACTTCCCCACTACTAAGCATATTATTAATTATTTCTAGAAAACTTTCGTCCATAATCTGGGTGTCGTTAAATAAAAACGACGTCTGTTTGGCTTCGATTCCCGTTAAACTGTAGAGTATCTTTAAATCCTCTTTAAATTCCGGAACTTTATAATTTCTCATTACAGATATCTGGTAAGTGTTATATTCGCATATGTAGGCGGCAACTCGGGACAAAGATTGCCTTCCACTGCCACCTAATCGTTATTTAGTAACTTTTAGTAATTTAGATAGGAACAAATTATTAGTATAATGTAAATACACTGCGCATTGTACCGCTAAAAAGTTCCAATGTAATTTTTTTTTTTATTTGAATTATAGTAACTTTAATGCGAAATGTAGTTTCGAAATGTTAATTTGTTTGTTTTTGACAGTATTAACGTACCTATTCCTACCAGTAGCATATTCCCCCTGGGTTGAGAAATGACCCTGACAATCCTGCAGATGTGCTCGATAGCGTCTTTGAATAATACCAGATCCATTCTAACCACACCCGGAGACACATTGTACTCCTCCATTTGGCTGTCTAAATATTTCCTTAAAGTCGTGATATCGTGATGTTCCTCGTAAATACCCCAGGGGTTTACGAAGTCGGCGTAGACCGGGATCACTCTGTTTGGGCACAAGCCGTGTAAAGTCAGTTCGAAATGTGCGCCCAACTGCTCATTCATTTGGTTCGAAAACCATTCTCGATCACTGAAACGATAATCAAGCTAATTTAAACATTTTTTTACTCGATAGTGTAAAAATATCAGAATATGCTTTCAGAAAAACTTTTACGTCAAGGTATTTTTTGGTATTCTAAAAATTCCCCTTGCTGTACGAACCTGTCATCGATCAGTCTATCGCAGAACACCCTGTAGCACTCGTGAATCCACAGTTTAAGAATGGAAGACTTGTCGCTCTGGTACTCTTTGTGACTTCGCAACAAACCTTGGAATATCTTCGAAATATCCCTCAAATTAAACAGATAGTGTATCTTCGTGGGAGTAGGCAACATTTTATTTATAACCCTATTGTACAGGTCTATGGTGCTGTCCGTTATTTCACGGCCGACAATTTTAACGCTCTCGTCGAACTCGGCCAAGTGTTGCGACAACATAGTCCCAAATATTCTGGTTATGGTAGGTTCGTCGGGAAAAGTCATGTTTATAACATTGAAACGGCTTAAGAGACGGTCCGTGATTACGTTTCTTCCTCCGCCTGGAGGGCCCATCGCGGCCAATATGTGCATATTCTGGAAGAAAATAAATAAACATTTACAAAACAGTGTGCTTTGAAGAATAAAAAAAAACAAACACAGAATGGTTCTGCACGTACCTCTACATATTTCCTCGTCTGCTTTTGTCTGTCGTACCAAAAACCGTAATCCATCCATTGCCTCAACAATTCCAAAGGAGGCTGAGACCCGTACGTTTCCTTTGCTGGCATATTTAGATCATCCAAAAACGTTATCATCTTCTTACCCATGGGTGGCGCAAAATGTCCCATAGTGCGCTTTTCCACGCGACTTTCTATAGAATCTTGAATGTTTTGAGATGTCGTTTGTGCAGACATGTTAATATTCAACACGGTATATTTGCTAAAGTCTAAAAATGACAATACGGCCTGTGCAGCAGACGTCTTTCCCGTTCCTACGGGTCCTGTTAGTAAAACTGGCGAGCCGTATGCCAACAAGGCCGTAACTACAAAATCGTAGCGGACAGTGTCAACAGTTGGAACAATTATCTTGTAAAACGGACTCCTGGAAATGACAGATTAGAACTAATTTTAGATATTTAAGTGTTTGTTATACCCTGGCTCATATCTCCATCCGTATGGTAATTTTTGGTCCCAGGAACTAAAGCAGAAGTTTTGAGAGTCTACAAAGTACTCATAAATGGTGTCTTTAATGGGAAATACGCCTTCTTTTTCTCTTATGAAAGTGTCCAGTTTTTTCCTACCGTCTTCATCGGTTGTGCAACAAACGGACCAAATTAAACTGGAAAGAATTGTTATTAATCAAGAAACACAGTTACAACAAATATCAATTTTACAAATTTTTATATCTTTAATTGCATTAAATGTTTCTAATATGAATTTCAGAACGTAAAAAAAAAAATTTTAATTTATACAGTCCTATAGTTTTTAACTAATGTTGTGGAAAGCAACTACTCTGCTGTCCACGTAGCATTGAATTACACCTGCAATATCTACAAAAAAAGCCAAGCTCATTCGTCAGCAGCATCACCAAATATAGATGGTTTAAAACTTATTAATTTTCATCAGGCTGCTATAGGCGAGATGATGGACGAACGAATTAACAATTTGAAAGCCTATCTACCGACATGTTTTGAGTGTGGGTAATATATAACCTACAAAATACATCTTAAATGTCCTTGCCACACAATGCCTACTGGCACAAAGCATTACTTTGTACCTACTGGTGTAGGTCGTTCTGCTTGATGTAACCCACAAACTATGACATATTTTTTTATTAGTCCTCAACAGTGTGTCATAGGTGAGACAACCGACGAACGATCCAGCTGTTTTGCGTCATATCACGATAAGGAAATACATTGTACGCGGGAGCGCAAATGGCTCTATTTGTCGTGCCGACTCCCAACTGTGCCATTCAAATAGCTACAGTAGGAAGCGACCTGCTATATTGCAGGTACTTGTTGCACGACTTCCACCTACAGAGGGCGAAGGCAATGTTTTAATTGTCAGTGTTGCGAGAAACAACTGCTCCGAGGGCTATATTCAAAATATTTATTTCACCTGTGTAGTGTGAAACAAGTCATGTTTTCAATGTAGGCATTGAATTGTAATGTTACATCTCACCCGCAATTGTATAGTTTGCCTCAAAGTATATAAAGAAGTAAATTAAATAGCATTTTTACCAAAATAGGAACCAAATTTTTAACAAATCCTCAAAGTGCTCTTCGTCAGCAGGATTAAGTCCATACGCTCTCGTCGCAAAAATATCCAAGAGCTTACATAGCGACATTACCAAGTTTAGCTCAGCACACACTACATTTTCTGTACAATTAAGACGTTTAAATTCAAGTACTACCGAAAGGTGAATCGTAAACAACTCCATCATCTACAAATCACGATCGAATGTCATTTTTTATTTTAACACATAAAGAGAATGTTGTACAATTAGATGGTGATAATTTTTCAAGCTTACCTTCTCCTTAAATAATTTTCCCCTGGTTTTCTCCTTTCCATTGACCCACGAGGTGACGTACGGTAACCAGCCCCAATCTTTGTAGTCGTTATAGACCATACCGCACCTGCTTACAGTGGCAGGCGAGGCGACGGCTAGATCGCCCACTTCAAACAGCAACGAAACCTGCTCCGGCATGGTTATTCGGTCACTGTTAATCAAAGTAAGGACTTTGTTGTCATCCATCACGCTGTTCATGTTCTCTATCCAAACTGCGTCGACGGGGCCGTCGAAGAGGATCCACTTTTCATCTGGCGACTCGTCTACGATTTAGGTAGCAGTAGTAATTTTATTAACAAACCAGTTTATTTATACCTGAACAAGTTTGTCGCATTACGGAACTAATAACTCCGTCCAACCATTCGCCTGTCGCCAAGTTATATTCCCCGTACAGCTCTCCTAGATTTAGAGCTTTTGGATTTAAAGGAAAAATTTGGACTTCGTTAAAAACGCCCCTTCCGAGTTTTTTCAGCTTTTTAAAAGCTCCTTTCAGCGCTTTCCAAGTTACTGTTTTAGCTGTACCCGTTTTACCCAAAATCATAACGGAATGTCTTGAACTCTTCGTTTCGTATAACTGTATTACTTTGGTAAGCGCAATCGGAATCGCCTAAAATTATTACATACTGTTACGGTATAAAAAACAGCCATAGAGTACATACCTGCAAATTATTTTCTTCCATGAATTCGGTAATCGCGGAATTCATGTCGAGATAGTCGACAACTGGAAGAGTAACACCAGGAAAAATGTCTGACATAATACCGTTGAATAACGGCAGGTCGTCCGAAGTGAACCTTGCGATATTCATATCACGCATGGCTAAATAAACGACTTGTTCCTCGGGTAGATGGGACATGATCCTTCTTTTTTTACCGGCGTATCGTAATAAAGCAACCATCGATCGAAGACCAAAGTCGTAATGGTCCTGTTTACTGAGTTGTTGAATCGCCAGCTGGTATAAGGTGAACACCTTGGGAAGAAAGTAAAAATGATATTTTAAACATTATCAGGGAAGAGTCATACATTTTTAATAGGTAACACAGAACTTTTAGAAAAAAATTCTGAATTGGTTTCATTCTATGTAAAATTTAATGAAAGATTGATACATTTCTTTACAATTCATTAGCAGCTGAAGTGAAAAAAAATTCAACTCCATAATTTACCCTTTAAGGGTAAGATAAGGGTAAGACTCGTTCCTACATAACAAATTTTAGAGGATATGTTTCAAACTTTCTCTTATTTTAACGCATATCACTAGCTTTTAAAGCTTGTTACACTATTTTTTTTTACACACTGCATTGACATATTTAAGGTAAAATAATACCTTTTTGGCTAAAGATTTAGTATTTTGAAATCCATCGCTGAATAAAACATTTTCAGCAATGATGCCGCTGTCTGGAACCATCATCGAAATCGGTCTAAACATTGATTTTAAATTGTCCGGCAGTTCCGTTCTACCCGCATACCCAGGATTCATGGTTATGAATATTCCACAAGTCAACCTTAAGTTGATTTCACTACCTAAGCAGAACCGAAGAAAAGATCATACTACTACTAAAAATGGGGGTAATATTTAAACAGGCTACTTTCGATGTTTAAGCAACAAATATAAATTTATTTTCTCAAATTCAGTAGCAAAAACTAACCCAAACTGTTTGCGGCTGCTGCGAGTACATACCTAACCTCACAGCGTTTAAAGAGTTTCGAAGCAATTTTGATTTTCGTAATTTCATCTAAAATTGTTTGCTATTAAGGCAATTATATGGTTTTTACAGACCATCAGCCAGATCAATAACCATATTATTTTAAATTTTATTACAGTGCTTCCTGTAAAGCCGTAGCCTAATGAGTGTTTGTCACCTTTTCAGATATTAGCAGAAAATTAAATGGTGCGACATAAACTTGACCTAATTTTTTATTTTTGTAAGAAATCATTGGTTAACCCTTTCGCTGAGCAATACGTCTGAACGTAGCTACCGCGCCGTGCGCGAAAGTTTATCGCGTGCGAATATATACGTCTGGAGCAGTTAGACCACTTATAGTTTTACATTATGTTGTGTTAAATTACGATTTACGATAAATTTTATGATTTTATTTTGAATAAAATACAGCATATGTACTAAATAGAAACTGAAAGAAACATGAACAATCTTGGTACTATTACCAGTACCTCTTTCCATAAAAATATTTGTCACAATCGGTATAAGCTCGCCCGCAAAAATTCGCCTTACCAATTGCAATAACCGAGTCACTATGCGCACGGTTGCGAATATATACGGTTTGAGCAGCCTGATCCAATTTAACTATTCATGCGAATTTATCCGTCAGGAGCAGTTTGAGTCCTATAAATTTTTAGCGAATATATACGTCTGGAGCAGTGAAAGGGTTAAATGCCAATTATTAAAGAAATACTATGATTAGACAAGACAACGGTGATGTGCTAAATGATAACTTTATTGCGTCATCTGTTAATAGGAAGCTCAACTAAAATCTCATATCACTGTCCTTCAGTAAAAATTAATAATTCACAATGAAATTCGACAAACACCTTGTAAACCGTCAAAATAAAAAGTAAAATAAATATAATAAAATTAACGTTGGCGTTTGTTTTTTTGATCACACTTCATATGGACCTAAACCAGGTTAATGCCAGAGGTCATTGACACCGAGATTCATAAGCTAAACACAGTGCTGCTATTAATTTTTCAAAAACAGTTGGATATTCATTATTTCATCCACACCGACGTAAAAAAAATAGGGTGACTAAAATTATGTTGCAAAGGCATACAAAAAATACCTTTTTACAAAAAAAATTTCTACTGCCGTTCGGCTCTCTACCACTTTGTTAGTTTGATATAGTTGGTGTAAAAAGATAAGAATAGGCAACACTGATAAGCGTGGGCATACAACCGAGTTAGGAGAATGTCTACTGATGACGTAGATAAGAGTTTAATTGCAGACTAAAAAACAACTTATAAGGATTGACTGATTTAAAAAAATTATAATTTCAGTTTAATATTCTGGGAACCCCGTACTGACCCCCGTTTAAAGTTGTAACATATAAAAGAAACACGGAGTTAGGTCAGTTACATCGTCTTACCTTCAAATACGAATCTCTTCTCTTTCTGCGATATAGCCATCAGTATGCACAGAATCTGTTGCGCGACGACAGATAACACTTCAATGTTGATCCTGTTGAATTCGTCAAAGCAGCCCCACGCCCCCGTCTGAGCTAACCCGGAAAAGCATTTTCCCATGCTCTTGTAATCCAAGCCTTCGGAACAGTTATTTACTATCACCCACATACCCATCGCTTTCCCTAGGTCTTTCACGGTTTCTGTTTTACCTGTACCAGCCGGCCCTTTAGGGCTGCCGCCTCGGTAAAGATGCAGCGCTGTAGTTAAAGTAATGTAGCACCTAAAAGTTCAATGTATATTTTCAAAGTAAATATTGGACGATATCGTTTTATTCCCGTATTCTCGTACCTATCTGTGAGGGGCGTTATGACGAGTCGTCCGGAATTTCCGTTATACTCGTATCCGTAATTAAATGAAGTGTTCGTTTGTTTTATTATACAAATCTCGGAGTCTCTGTCCCAGTAAAATCGGAGCTGTGAGAACCACTCGAAAGCGTTAATATCCCGGCAGTCTTAAAAAGAAACGTTTATTAAAAACATAAATTCAACGCCTGCAACTTAAACTTACTGGCTTTATAAAGTCTATCGATTACATCCCTCGAGTGTATTTCGATCGTTATGAGGGCGTTTGCTTTCAGACGTTGCAGTTTCGTTAGGTCTTTCCTACTTAACTCGGACAATTTGCTTAAAACTTGGTTTTGCTTTTTTCGTAACCGCTTCAAAGGCTTCTTGCTTTCCATAATTTTGGCGTGTACTAGAGCTCTTGTACAGTCGGTGGTCCATTGTATCTTAAAATGTGAATTAGGGTGGTCAAAAAAAAAAAAAATCCTATGACTAAATGTGTAAGAAAAAAAAATCATTTTCTAAACATCTCTAAAAAATATTTAAAACAGTCATGAGATTTTATACATCGAGAGTCACCAATACTACCCAAGAACCTCCAGAAACTCAAAAACACTTAGTCCAGTCATTATAGACATGAAACAGCCTGTTTCGGGGAAAAAAATACTATTAGAAGTTTCTCTGCAGAATATTGTACGGAAACGTGTTATAAACCAAATATCAAAAAATCATCGATGCTAGTTGGGAAACTTTGTTTAAACAATGGTCAAAGTTATGGAAAAGTGGTTTTTTGACTCGCGTAAAAAAACTATTATTCATAGTGAAAAAAAGTTTATACGAAAAAGGTAAGGTATTCAGTAAGCCTATAAAATGAGACAAGTCCGATTAAATTCCGATAATTTGTTTATGTGCAAGAGCTCAAAAATGTTCGAAAATGGCCTTTTTTTAGTTGTTAATAATTAATGCAATTTTTATCGCAGACACTTGTAATTCAGGATTTTTTAGGCTTTTTACACCCTTAATACGAGGTAAAAATTTCAACCCGAAAGCTTCAATGGTTCGTCGTTGGCGGAATTTGTTATCTAAGAAGATGATTTATCCCAAGCTCAAAAGCATTGTATAGTCTCGATCATTAGTTGTTTTTGTACCTAAATAGTTGTAATGTATTAACATATGCATTTACTGAGAATTTGATTTTTCAAATTTAATTTGTTTAAACATGATTTTTAAAAAAATGTTAATATTTATTAAATTGTTAAGATAGGTAATTATTATAAAATGAAATAGTAACGTTTATAGTTTAGTTAGTACTATTTTTCTTCGAATTTTAAAAAAAATCCTTGTTCTAAGTTGATTAGAAGCTGAGATAATTTTTTTTTAATTTAATCGCAGTGACCTTAGTTATTCATATTAAGAGCCAAAATTTGAAGAGTATACATTAAGGCCGGTGTCCCATGCATCCGAATTCCGACGATACGAAGGTCCGAAAGTGTTCCTATTGGTTAATACACATTCAAATTTTTACCGCTCATTTTCATCCGAAATTTTTTAAATTCATAAGACGTCCGAAAAAGTAGAAATAATTTTAACTTTTATCCGAAATCGTACGTTTTTTAACTTCACTTTTTTATTTCTTATGTCACGGGACGCAAAGAAATCCAACATTGCGCCTCGTGATTTACTGCCAGGGGCCTTTTGGAACAGCAGGCTGCGGCGCACTCGACGTTCAGTCCTCAGTCCGACCGCTGTTCATTAAATAATCGCCGAGTTTTGCCTCGGTAGCTCACTCTCAGTCGAGACTTGCCACGAGAAGCATCTCTGAGTTGGTCTTCACACTTGTATTATAGTGTTTGAATCGAATAGCGTCTCATTGTCCGCTCCTTTAGTGACGAGTAGTCGCTACCAATTTTTTTAAATAGTAGTAGTACTGAGTATCAGCGACCCTTCGGGGTATATTAAGGCTGTTCCCCTCAGCTTGTGGTACGGCCTGGTCTGCCAGTCCACAAAATAGGGAAAAAAGAATTCGTAACAAGTTCCCCTTTACTTATTAATTACGGGGAACCCTACACCTATCGTTCCACAACGCGAGTCGAACCCGACATCCGCAGAAGCAGCCGCGGCCGTGCAGAAACGCTTTCTGCACGCATCCAGCGTGTTCTGGGGATTCTTAGGGATACCCCCAACCACGTCACAATCCTCCAAACGGGTCCGAAACCACCGCGTTCGTGGACACTTAACATGCTATGATTGTTGTTTGGTATATTTACAGTCAAATAAATGTTATATTATAATGTCGAATGTAGAAAATATAATACTACGTATATTTTCTACGATATATACCTATGGTTGCGATGCATTCTATTACTCGGTCTAGCGTGGGGAGAGCGAGGCGGAGCACGCGCCTAGTAGCACACAGGAAAATGATCCAGCGGCCTCAAATTGATGGAGCTGGAAAAATTAGCCATATCTCGGTTAATAATGAACCTATCGAGATGATTCTTTTTTAATTTGTGGTAGCGCAAAAATTCATGAGCATTGAAGCTATTGTATTAACATTATTTCAAGCCGAGATTTAATTTTTTATTTAGCCTCATGTAGGGCATGAAAATATAGCTCTTAATGTACACTCTCTCCAAATTTCGGCTCTTAATAATTAAGGACACTGCGATTAAATAAAAAAAAAAAAAATTGTCTCAGCTTCTAATCAACTTAAAACGATTTTTTTTTATTCGAAGAAAAATAGTACTAACTAAACTATAGAGGCTACTATTTCGTTTTATAATAATTACCTATCTTAACAATTTAATAAATATTGAATTGTTTTCAGTCATTTTTGAACAAATTAAATTTGAAAAATTAAATTCTCAGTAAATGCATACGTCAATACAACTATTTAGGTACAAAAACAACTAATGATCGAATCTCTACAACGCCTTTGAGCTTGGGAAAAATCAATTAAAAATAGCATCTTCTTAGATAACAAATTCCGCCAACGTCAAACCAATTGAGCTTTCGTTTTGAAATTTTTACCACTTATTAAGGGTGCAAAATCCTTCAAAAATTACAAGTGTCTGTAATGAAAACTGCATTAATTATTAGCAATTGAAAAAAACGGCAATTTTCGACCATTTTTGAGCTCTTGCGCATAAACAAATTATCCGAATTTAATCGGACTTGTCTCATTTTACAGATTCATTTAATACCTACCTTTTTTGTATAAACCTTTTTTTCTCTATGAATAACAGTTTTTTTACGCCAGTCGAAAAACCACTTTTCCATAATTTTGACCATTGTTTTAACAAAGTTTCCCAACTAGTCTCGAGTTGATTTTTTGATATTTTGTTTATAACACGATTCCGAACAACATTCCACAAAAAAACTTCTAATAGTACTTTTTTTCCTGAAAAAAAGCTATAATACTGGCCTAACAGCATTTTGGAAATTTAATTAACACAGCTGCTATTACCAGAACGCAAATTTTAAATCGGCATTTTTATTTAAAAAAAATATATATTCTACTTACCAAACTGCAGGCGTTACACAACTGTCCACAATTACTCAACAACCACTTGTCACGTTTGTTGAGCATCTTTTTTAATTCGCTCTTAACGGGTTTGAACGTCGATTTCAGTATAGCCTGCATGGAAGCCTCCACCGACAAAAGCCACAACTCCGCCGGGCCGTCTAATACGATGCTCTTCTCAAACTCCATATATTCTCCGTCGTCGGCGAACATCCCCAAAGCCTCCTGTTTGTTCAAACCCATGTTCTTGTGGATCTTCAGCTTGTTGAGGTTGTCGAATAATTTTTTCAAGTGCGGCTGGACGTACTCGGGCCTCTTGGAATTGCCGAGGATTTCCAACATGTCGTCGTTGGAGATGAAGTAAAACCTCGGGAAGACCTGTCGTTTCGTTTCCAGGTATATTTCCAAGGCTCGTTGCAACAAGTCGAGTTTGTCATTCATAACGTTCAGTCTGTTCAACAAATAAGGCGTGGGCTTGTAGTGGGTCGCTTTCAAAGCAGACTTGGCATGATACAGACGACTCGTGATCTCTCTCCAATGTTCGCTGAGTAGATCAAAATCTTCCGATTCTCTGGGTAATTGCTTACGGATGTCTTCTCCGTAGAATATATTCTGTAAAATTAATTTATGAATTTACGCGTCGCTTTTACTGTTACATCTCCAAACAAACAAAAAATACATATGTATATACAAAGTATTTAAAATTTTTGGTTTAAATTTTGGTAATATTATACTTATACCATTAGATATATAGAACAGAAGAGTCCAAAGGTACAAAATTGCGATATTAAATCAAATTTTGCGCATAGAAACAATATCGAACAACTCCATCACCGCTATTATTGATATACCATCTATTACGTCAAGGAGATATAAGTTGCTTAGAATTATCATCGAAAATCGTGTTAATTGCAAAGTAGACGTTCTTACTAATAAATAGTTTAATTGAAAGTGTGCAATAGAACTTATACTGTGCAAGGTCTTGCAAAAGTAAATTTTTTTGCACTGGAAATCATGTAAATAACTGTCATTTTTATCCAATTGTAAATAAAAATAGTGAATTATGAGAAAGTTGAAAAATATAAAAAAAAACCTTATCTATATAAAATAAATAAATATAGTTGTGTAGTAGTGGGGGCGTTTTTTTCCATGTCTGCAAATGCAGTTGCTTCGTTGTAAAAATGTGGCACCTACACCCCGTGTCCCAAAAACATCAGAACTCCTCGATAACTTTTCAGTATGAAATCCTATCAAAAAAGTTTATGAAAAAAGTTGTGGGATTTCAAAAAAACAATTTAATGGTGACCTTGTCTTTGATGTCTCCAATTTTTAAGGTCAAATTAAGGCCAAAATAAAAATTTCGAAACTGCCGTTTCGAGCAAACAGGAACGTTGGTTAGTCAATCTAGGAACTTTACGTTTTATGAACCTTGAATGCCCTCTAATCTAAACGAAGCAACTTTGGATACAGATAAGCTTAGTTAATCATATTTGTTTGAATCTGAGAACCTGTGAAACTTTCACATGGAGCGTTGCGACACCTTGTATATTTGACATTACAATTTTAATTTAACGATATTTGGAAAACTCACCTCCAAATACAACCACTGTCTTTGAACGGTTAGTGCCACCTCCAAACTTTCCATAATATAAGACAAGGTTCTCTCCCAATAATCGACTTCTTTAACGAAAGGCTCGACAAAACGAGTACTTTTCATAGTGCCCAGCTGCATCAAATTGTCCTCCAGAGCCTTGAAGCAGTCGTCGACGCTCTTTATTTTGTAGAGGTCCTTGTACGAAATGATTTCGATCTTCATGGCAGTCCAAGTATCCATGATGCCTTTCAGGCCTTTCTCGATCTGGAGCTCCATAGTGGCGGCGTTAGAAATTTCATTGATATCTTCCGCGTATTTGTGCATCTCCATGGCGTTGATCGCTTCTAAATTGAAAGCCGGCGAGGCCTCGTCAAAGTTAACACCGACAATTTTTTTAACTTTGTCCCAGTGCCTGGCTCTCATCGCCGGATTCTTTAGATCGCCGAGTAACGGTAATGTCCTTCTGAAAGCATCCACACGAAGCCTCGTATCCTCAACAACTGACCACCTGAAAATCAGTTTTGGAGGTCCATTAGTCGTCGAGCCTCGCATACTTACTTTTATAATAATGACTAAATATTTTAATTTTTTATTAAAAATAGAAATATTTTTTGAAATCATTTAAGTTTTTATTAAAAAGCACTATGTTCAGTTTGTGAATCTCAGTGGCGTTAACCTAGTTTATATATCGAGGGCGTCATATCAGAAGGGGCGTATGAACCAAATCTGAAATTTTACAGGCATACGCCTTTCTGATATTATAGTTTTGCAAAATTGGTTCATACGCCTAAGTAAAATGCGTTAGAATAGTGTTGATGTTTATGAATATATATATGCCCTTCTGATATATTAAGCTATTAAGCGAATTGATTAAATGAGATTATACGCCCTAAAAACCTAAAACCGACTATAGTGGCTCTTACGCCCTTCTGATATGACGCCCTCGATGTGTGACAAAAAACGAACGGGCAAAGTTAATTTTCTTCATTTTATTTTAGTCTTTATTTCGACGGTTTACGAGAAGGTGTTTGTCAACTTTTTATGTGGTCAATGTTAATTCGCCACGAGATTGGACGAATACGTCACCGCTTCCTATATATGTGATCCCTATTCGAATTTACACTGTATATAAAAAAAAAATAAAAAATGAAAAGAAAATGCATAAATAGTTTCGAAAAGTAAATAACAACAAAAAAAAAACTATCTGTCACTTTCATATTTACCCTTTATCTTGTAGTTCTCTAGAAAGTCTCGTTAATTTGCGGAATAAAGTCTGTGCCGTATCCTCCATTTCTGCGGTCTCGATAGTCCAAAATTCCCCTGATTTGTACATGTCCCACTTCTTATCCCACTCCTCCGCTAATTGCCAGACTATTTCAAGGGCCGCCATTTCCTAAAAATAAACAAAAAAACATTAATCCAAGCCAAAAAAAAAGGCTCTAGTATCAATGTTGATTTTCAAAATTAAAAAAAGCCTGTTAAAATCAGATTAGTGCTTGAACAAAAAAATTATTATGGAAATATTTTCAATTTTTTTTGTGTATTTATTGATATTTTTTAAAATATTCTGTATTTGAAAGATTTTGAACTTGAAACATATTTCTCATGAATATTTACCGATTGAAGCCTTATTATCTCAATCGATTCAGGGAAACTCAATCCAAAAATGCCCAAATTCTGTCTTATTTGTTCCTCCTTCGCTTTGTGGGCCTGCAATCGTGCTCTTATAGATTTTAAATAGTCTAATCCTTCCCTTGGGGTCCCATCCGATTTGAAAGGTCCGTTTTTAAGAAATTCTTCCAATAAATCTTTACTCTCTTGCCGAGACTGCTCCGTTTGTTCCAAGAGTGCGGTCTTAAAACTTTCCTGGAAAATGCAATATACTCAGCTTTGAGCTTTTAATTTCCTTCGGCCTACTACCTTTTTGAATGTTATGAACGGGGGAACAAATGGGTAACAAAGGATAATTATTTCACAAAAAAATTTTTAATGTTATGTTAGTTTACCAACTAGACTAATAAACTTGAACCAAAAAACACATTTAAAATACATACTAGAAACGTGGAAATATTTTGAAAACTTTAGAAAACTTCAGCCGGAACTGATTTGGTTCATAGAAGTTTTGGTGGTTTTTGAAAGATTTTGAAGTAAATTTGACGAATTTTCATACAATTTTCAAGCTCTATTGAATGATGGTGACGTATTCCGAGGCCGTTTTTTTTTCCAAAACAGTTTTGAAATATATAAAAATTAAATATGAGCAATATGAAGCAAGGCAATTTGTACAAGAGGTTTTTTTTGACGTCAATTTTACAGAATACACCTGGGGAAATAAGTGTTTTTTTTTTAAGAAAATGCGTTTTATTTTCTAACACAAAATTCCGAAGATATTTCATGTTGCTTAAACTAAAAAAGTGAAGATTTACATAGATTTAGTGTTGTGCTTGTGCAAATCAAATATATGTAGTTTTTTAATGTGAATAGATTTCAGCTGCAAAAAAACCAGCATCTGAGCAAATGTTTCTAAATCAAATACTTGCAATTTTTTGTGAAATCTTAGGAATTGGGAAGGAAGAAAGGGTCTAAAGGACGACTATTTCTTCGCTTCCTTTATGAGTACCTTTGAATACTCCAGCATTTTTTCTGCCTCAGCCAGGACATCCACATAATTCCCCCATTCTTTTGGTATGTTCCTCTCCATGTTTCTTATCTCCTCCGGTACGGGTACGGAATATTTATCGAGGGTAATTATTTGGTCTTTTATCAAAGGAAATTCTTCTTCTCGTTCGGTAACTTCGTCCTTCAATTGCTCGAATAACATTATTGAATATTGCATGCTGTCTAAATTTTGAGGCTCCTTCATGATCCTGATAAAAATTACGATTCTTTAAGCATGTTTTCAATTTCATCATAAAAAATTAAACTGGACAGGTAAATATCGTAACAGACTTTGGACAAAAAAAATATATATTTCTTTAAAACAGAGGAAACTTTTTTTTGTCCGCAACTGTACAAACATTACAACGTGACGCATAAACAAACTAATATTTGACCACACTTACTCTTCCATATTAACTTTCATATAGTGGTACAACTCCTGAAGGTTCTGTTTCGTCATCTTAAACAAAAGGGCGCACAGCTTCCGTTGCCATTCCATGCAATGTTCGATAATGCCTTGTTTCAAGTCAGCGCAGTTTATTTGAAGAAAGTGGACAGCCGTTAACGTCTCCTGAATTTGCACGTTATTGGCCATTTCCGTGTAACGCGCTATATTGGAGTCAAACAGCGAGGCGCTGGGGTTCTCTTTCTCGTATCTCTCTATAAACTTGTCCTTGTCCACTTCCCACAAATCGCGGAACGGTTCCCATATTCTCATATATTCCTTGATTTTCTCGACGTTCACCCTTACCTCTAAGTAGCATAAATGCAAAATAAAATAAAGCAACGCCGACAATTAACACTGTACCTTGATTTAATAGCAGCTGCATGTGTTGACAGTTGGTGTCTTCCGCGATTATCTGACTGTATGATTTGAAATTTGTCTCTGCGACGTGGAATTTGTCGTTCAGTCTTGGCAAAGCCGTCAGCGCTTCCACTAGACTGTTTAAAATGTTAGAAATGACTGAGGCTACTTCTACTAAGGCCGGTTTAAATATGATCTGAAAGAAAAGCAATAACGTCCGTTGCAATGAAAATAAGCAACATTTTTCGACATTGGCTTGAATTGTAACAAATAAAAAAAAGTTCAGGGAATGAGAAACTTGCACTATTACGATCAATTTTTTCTATGATAAAAAGTACATTGGATGTTAAAAGAAATCATATAAAACATCTCCCAAAACTGGTGTCCAAAGAAGTCTAAAAGCTCGACAAAAGTAGAAATCAAAATAATAAAACAAGAAGCCTCAAGAAGTTATCAATTTTCATGTTATTCTACATGAAGATGTATTACATTTCTAAATTCATGTTTTTTTTCAGGTTTAAATAATGGACATCCACTGCGCTTGTAGATTATGTGGTTTTATTCAAATTACTGATAGCAAGACACATACTAAGACTGTCATTTCAGATTATTACATTATATCGAATATACCTTTCTTTACGCCCTTGTTTTGCCAAAAATTGTAGATTTTTTTTTAAGTATGCTAATGAAAAATATGCCAATAAAGTGGTTTCTGGAGCCAAGCCAATTTTTTTATTTAAAAAAATTTGAGGACGTAATTAACATTTTACAGCGATGCGCTTGATGGAGGTTAATATTGAACACTTTAATTTTAAAAAAAAAAATAGTAGGATATGTTTACTTGATTTTTAGTATTAGTAATGGAGTAATAAATTGAAGCGTGCAAGCGCTGAGTGCGTCAGCTGGACCGGAGGGAGAAGTAGGGGAAGCGGCGCGCCCTCGCTCTGTAAACTGATTCCGAACCACATATAAAAATTCTTTTGTACTTAATCTGGGGTAGCTAAACACGAATAATATAGTCATAATGTTTAGTTTTTATTTAATTTACATTTTTTTGCATTTATCGTCATTTTAATAATTAATAATATTACACTATTTTTTGAGTAATACCTTAATTTTTTTGCTTCATTAATCATACTGACGTTATACTTGTTGCTGGCTTTTTAATAATTACTTCATCATTTCAATAATTAATTAATTTTGGTGCAAAATAAGTTTAAAGAATTTAATTTATTTACAAAAATATTTGATAATTATACAACTATGTATAAAATATCTACAAAATTATTACAATGAAAACTAACAAGTATCCTATATAGATTTTTCTCTCCGGGCTTTCGTTTTCGAGATACACGGTGTCAAAACTTTAATTTTTTTTTTAGTTTTTCGCCAATATCTGAGGAATCGTTTGAACTACAGGACTGAGCTTTTGTACAAACATTACCACTATTCATAGCTACTTTTTCGCACCCTTCTCGAATTCATTGGACGTGCCAGTGGTGGAGATTTTAAGGTATTGTAAGGGTTTTTCCCCCCCTAAATTTTACGCCACTGGAAAAATTGACTTTTGACAGCAAATTCTAAAGCACCAATAAATTTAACACAATAAGAGTTCTCTTAGTTCATTGCTCGAAAGTCAATCGTTTTCAAGAAAAATGACTTTTTATGAACAAAAGCAAACATTTTGCTAACGTTTCGAAAATCTTTTGTAATTCAAAAAATAAGTAGTAATAATTAACAGTTTTAATGAAATTTAACAACAGATAGGATTTTAACTTTTTTTTATCAATTTGGCGAGTAAAATTTATAGAAACTGTTCAAAATTACGTCCGTTGGCTTGAATGCACGCATTACATCTTCTAATCATGTTTCTATCTGCCGCTGCGGTTTCACCTCTATCAGTCAACTTTTCGATAGTATTGACATGGATTTCATAAACGATGCATTTCGTTCTCCGGATGTTCTGTTCAGTTACTTGCACTTGCAAAATTTTCAAAATGTAAAATGCAAAATGAAAAAATTTGAGCTTTCGGGCTGAAATTTTTACCACTTATTAAAGGTGCAAAAAGCCTAAAAAATCCTGAATTACAAGTGTCTGCGATGAAAATTACATTAATTATTAGCAATTGAAAAAAACGTCAGTTTTCGACAATTTTTGAACTCTTGTGCATAAACAAATTATCGGAATTTAATCGGACTTGTCTCATTTTATAGGCTTATTTAATACCTACCTTTTTTGTATAAACTTTTTTTCGCTATGAATAATAGCTTTTTTACGTGAGTCAAAAAACCACTTTTCCATAACTTTGACCACTGTTAAAACAAAGTTTCTCAACTAGCCTCGAGTTGATTTTTAGATATTTTATTTATAACAGGTTTCCGAACAATATTCCGCAGAGAAACTTCTAATAGTATTTTTTTCCCGAAACAGGCTCTTTCATGTCTATAATGACTGGACTAAGAACATTGAAGAAACAACTAATTAGAGTAAATTCAGTAAAACGTACCCGATTGTTCACCAGATTAGCAGAAAGCTTCAATAACGGAGTCGGATTGGTCGTTCCATCTCCGTGTACAGCTTCATACACAGACTCCAGAGAATTTTTACAGCATATCTTTAGCGCTTCCTCCATAAGAGTGTCGAAATTATTTATATATTTAATCCATTGATTGGCCATCTGAAATTTAATTAATAATACTTACTTTTAATAACCAATTCCCAATGACAGAGAATTTAGAACCTACCGACTGCATATACTGCTCAAATCCTTCAAATACTAAAATAAGGAACTGTATGGTTTCCTGATAATACACCACAATCTTATCGATAACGTTTTTCATATAGGATGCCAATTCGTTAACCAGTTCTTCAACGTCGTAAGCATAGTTCGGTTTTATACTTATCAAAGGAGTGTCGCATATTTTTTCGGAAATCAAAACTATCTGGAGGTTGCAGTTTTTATAGTCGTCGACAAAGGCTTGCAGCTACAAAATTAAGTAGTTTGTTAATTAAAGACAGTTTTTGTCGGAGTAGAATAACGCACCTCGGCGGTGTTGTTGCTGCAATCTGCGATGTATTCGTCGCCAACGTCAGTACTCCACGTCAATTTAGTCAATCCCGGAGATATCTTTTTCTCAACAGCTAAAATGAGCGGTTTAAACAGTAAACGTTCGTTGTCCGACAGAGAAGTAAGGATTTTGTTGTAATCCAAAACAACGTTAAGCACACACTGGTAGACAAATTTAATAGTATCGGCCTTCTGGTATATATTTTTGACGTATCCAGGTATTTCGTAATTTAAGGTTTCCCAATACTTGCACTCGTGAAAGATTTCAAGTAACGATCTAAAATGTTGTCGTTACCGTGAAGACGTATCACCTTTTTCTTTATTACTTACCTGTCGATGTTGCATTCCAGAAGCCCAGGCTTTATTACGCTCTTGCACATCAGGGGTCTGTTTAAGCGGGCATTTACGTCTTCTCCGATACTGTCTACCCACTTCCGGTACAAATATAAGACTTTTTCATCTACGGAAGCTATTAGCTTGTCGTACTGGGCAAATACCTCGTGGGCTATACTACATGGCATCATCCAACCAGCCTCGTCAAACATCTACAGAAAGGTCAAACTATTAACCACAGATTCTTTGGAAGAAAAAAAAAAAATGACTTTTCTTATCGTTTTACATTTAGGCGCTTTCTTTTCAAGATACAAGTGTCGAAAGTGAAATAAAAAAAAATAATAGATCCTCAATTGAAAATTTGTACATAGTTGCATACCTTTTATATAATTTTTGTAAAAAAAAAATCAAAGCAAACAAAATTTTTCTAATATAGTCCAACCAAATTACACTTGAAGAAAAAAAAAATTGTTACCTCGACTTTTATAAGTGGAAATGGTAAAAGGGCTTATAATAAACCTAAAAAAAAAACAAATGCGTGAGCAGGGGCGGCGGAGGGTTGATTTGGGGGGATGAAAATTATAAAAAATTGTATCATTGGGATTTCTGGCGAAAGTTGACGTCAAACAAAAAAGTATCTAATACAAAAGTTGTAGATCATGCAAAAATCTACAACTTTTGCAGAGGTCACTTTTTAACATGACCGCAAAAAACAGGTTTTTTCTGATTTTTCGTTTTTTATTTCTCATTTCCGCAAAAATATTTTAATTTTGACAAAAACATGGTGAAAGTATACCTTTCTCTGTCTTAAATAACCTCAAATTTTTTTAGATAAAAAAATCAAGAAGTTTCTGAGATATTCATTTTTTTGGGCCTGAAACACTTTTTTTTTAAAGAAAAATTCTACTTAAAAAAATCATCGTACAAAGTTCTGCCGGTAATAATTTTTTCCGTTTCAACATATACTTTTTGGTGAAATAAAAAAATCTGTAATAACAGTTCAAAAACATACTTAAAAATCCAAAAAATAAAAAATGACTTGCAACAATGAATTTTTCAATTATTGTTGATAATTTGTTGAAATTAAAAAACATTCAAAAACTGATTACACCATTCAATTCTACGGAAAAAAAAATTAAAAAAACTGTCTCATTGTTTGACCCAACACTTTATTTTTGTACAGTATTGCTATAAACATCTAAGTCGAATTACAAATGCTCAAATGATAAATTATCTCTGGTCGATTTGAGATTTCAGCAATACAAAGTATTAACTGCAGTCTACTGTTGACGCGAAATCCAAAAAATTTTGCAAAATCGTTTTATTTTTTTTCTGTTTTTATTTGAAAATGAATTTTAAATAAATTGCATATTTACATTGCCACTTTTTTCGCTCTATCCAATGGTGCCTACATTTTTGCAATCCGATGTTTCGTCTTCGAGGGTCCATCATCAGATTAATTTTTTTAAATATATCGCTGCTATTTTTATGACAAAATCTAGTCATTTTTAATTCTGAATTAGAGGATATTACTATTGTAATCGCTTAAAAAGGTTTTTAGCTATCATTAATTTTTCCTGATAGGCTATTGACTGTCAAAAAAAAGAGGGTACAACATAACAGAAATTTTATTGTTTGATATGTTCAATTGTCTCTAAAAAATGATAAAACCGCGGAGTACTACCTTTTAAAGGGGTGCGTTTTTGAGAACGAAGTAAAACGGTGGTATTTTCAGTTTTTTGAGTTTGACTCGAAAACTATGAATTTTTTCTAAATAGTTGTCAACAGAAAAGTTGTAGCAAATTGAATTTCCAATCGAAATGAGACCTTTAGAAGTCAAAAAAATTTATTTTTAAAAAAAATATGCCCAAAAAACGAGTAAAAAAAACCCGAAAAAATGCTTTTTTTTTCTATTTGGTTTTTGGTTCACAACTTTTTTCTGAGAGGAGTTAGGTATAGGCATTGCTTCACAGAAAAAAAAGTTAATGTTTTTTCCTTTAAAATAAGCCTTTATAGAAGTACCTATGACTAATAGAAACCGAGATACATTGGATCAAAGTTGGCTTCTTTTTGGATTTTTGGACAATTTTTGCCCTTTTTTGACGATTTTCGTCTTATAACTTTTTTCTGAGTTAATTTAGGTATATGTAATGCCATATTCAAATGAAAGCTGGTTTCAAGACCTCTAAAATGGTGTCTGGTAGAAGTTTGTACAATTAAAATCAACCAAGATATGTCAATTTAACCAACGATACTTTTTTCTTTTTATAAAATTTTTATTACTTTCGGTATTATTTTGTCTAATAAATTTATTTTTGTGAATGTAAAAGTTAAAATAAGTTTCTAGGTGATTGAATTCATCAACAAAAAAAATAAGTACACTAATCGATACTACGGAAAAAAAATTATTATTTATTTTATTTATTCACTATTTGACTTATGTTTATAGCAATACTGTACAAAAATAGTTTTGGGTCAAACAATGAGACAGTTTTTTTTGTATTTTTTCCGTACAATTGAATGGTGTAATCAGTTTTTGATATTTTTTAAATTTAAACAAATTATCAACAATTACTGAAAAATTCATTGCTGCGTCATTTTTTACTTTTTTGCATTTTGAGCATGTTTTTGAACTGTGATTATACATTTTTTTATTTCACCAAAAAGTATATGTCAAAATGAAAAAATGATTACCGGCAGAACTCTGTAAGATTTTTTTAAGCAGAATTTTTCTTTGAAAAGTGTTTCAGGCCGAAAAAAATTAATGTCAGAAACTTCTTGATTTTTTTATCTAAAAAAAATTAAGGTTATTTAAGACAGAAAAAGGTATACTTTCACCAATTTTCATCAAAATTAAATTATTTTTGCGGAAATGAGAAATAAAAAACGAAAAATCAGTAAAAAACCTGTTTTTCGCATTTTTCTCGGAAATTTTGAGGTTATGTTAAAAAATTACCTCTACAAAAGTTGTAGATTTTTGCATAATCTACAACTTTTGTATTGGATACTTTTTTGTCTAACGATAACTTTCGCTAGAAATCCCAATGATACAATTTTTCATAACTTTTCCACCCCCCAAATCAACCCTCTGCCGCCCCTGCTCACGAATTTAATTATTTTTTTTTCGTTTATTATAAGCCCCTTTACCATTTCCACTTATAAAAGTCCAGGTAACAATTTTTTATTTTTTCCTTCTAAATGAGTTATTTTGATTGGTCTAAATATACACATCTTTTAGATTGTGTTTCTTTAATTTTTATCCTTATAAAATTTTCATGAATTGTTTTGATTTAGTGTTTCTGTTGAATTTAGAATATGAAGAATCAAAAAAATAATAATAAAAAAATAATTTAATAATTAAAATTAAATCTAAGAATTTTAGTTCAAATTTGGGCTCTTTTAATGAGAGAGAAGACCGGTGTCCCATGCATCCGAATTCCGATGTACGATATCCGAAAATATTTTAATTCATACGTACGATAATATTATAATTCACATGCATCCGAAATTAATCTCATAGAAATCAAGTATAGAACCATGAAATTTATTACAAGATGAAGGTGAAACATTTTCAAATGACAACCATAAGTATATATCGTAGAAAATATACATAGTATTATATTTTCTACATTCGACATTATAATATATTTATTTGACTGTAAATATACCAAACAACAATCATAGCATGTTAAGAAATAAAAAAGTGAGGTTAAAAAACGTACGATTTCGGATAAAAGTTAAAATTATTTCTACTTTTCCCTACGTTGTACGAATTTAAAAAATTTCGGATGAAAATGAGCGGTAAAAATTTGAATGTATATTAACCAATAGGAACACTTTCGGACCTTCATATCGTCGGAATTCGGATGCATGGGACACCGGCCTAACTATTTAACTAAATTAGAGTTCCTACAAAATTAAAGAAAAACAAATAAAATTTTAGATTACGTTTGTTTGATATTTCAAATTGATTTTTTTTATATTACCTTTTTTAATATCTCCAGTCTGTTCTTCTTCATGCTGATCATATGAGCTCTGCCGGCGAAGTAAGGCATCAACGTAGGAAATACGTCACTTTCATTCTGGAGGTCTTGCTTAGCATCCAGCACTTCTTCCTTGAACATCTTGTAGACCTGCAAAGGAATTTCACGTGAGATTTATAAACATGTAACGGCGACGTTTCTTCATACTAATAAAGTCTTCTTTTCAAAGAAGGAAATTAGAGTCCTCCGTTGCGTATAATTGTGCATCGCCGCCAAACTTTCTATTCCCTCCTCAACGTTGGCGACATTGTCGAAGACGGAATTGGCCAAGTTCTCGATGACAACCTCCACGTCTTTCATCCTAGTTCTGAATTTGAGGATATCGTCGTACCATTCCGCATCTTGCACGTCTAATATCCTGAACCTAACCTGTAATCAATCGTTATAACATTTTATTCAAAGCAAGTTAACGTTTTGTACCTTTTCTATATCGGCTAGACTGTCGTTGAACATTTTTTCCATCCTTTCAGCCCACTGCTCGAATTCTAGGCCCCGAGATCCTCCAAATCTAGGTTTCGGGATATGTTCCGTTTCGTTGTATCTTCCAAAGACAATCATAGACTCGCACACCTCAATCATGTCTTTACAGCGTTGGATGAAAGAATCGATGTGATTGAAAATCGGAGCTTTATCCAAGTCCCACGACATCCAGCCATACTCGTTATGGCTACTGGAAACCTTCAAAATAACAGATAATTTTATTTTCTTTATTTTGAAGCATTTTAATACCAAACCAGTATTAGTTTATAGTGTTAAGTTTAAAAAATTACTTACCAACACATAAGTCTTAATATATCTCGTCATACAATCGATGCAAGTCTCAAACATTTCAATCGCCCTTTTGGTCTCCTTATTTTGGAAGACCACGTCCAAGTCGATAAAGTTTATACACTGCAGTATAATCTGATTGCTTAGCGATCTGCAGAGTACAGTAATTTTTTCCGTGGTGTTGAAGTAGGGGCTGTTCAACCAAATGTATCTGATCAAATGTAAAATTTTGGATAATTTATCCGGGAAGTCTTTCGGGGAGTAGGTCTTCTCCAATTCCTCGCACGGTTTTACGAGCACGCCCAGGTATTCGATATTGGAGTGAGATTCTCGTACGCTCGACGAGATGTCATCGGTAAGGGTACGAAATTGACGGACGTAAGTAGACTGCACCGACATTAAAATGTTGCAGATGTGTTTTAACGTCTTGTTGTTCAGTTGGTGGTTCAGACCCAATAAGTTTTCACCTAGAAATACAGAGTGTTGCAAAAAACGCATGTCGAAATAATGGCATTCTGCATATGCCAATTTGTCTAGGCTCAACTGGACTGCGCACTTTCTTCCACCTGTATTTTTTTTAACAACAATTATGAAGAGTGTAGACATGAAATACAAGTATGTGGTTGAATTGAATATCTTAAAAAACAACGAAATTATTAAGTAACAAAATAATTTTGTATTATTTTTAATTTTGACACACTATGTTAAAAAAGAGACTTTAATGAAAAATACTAATGGGTCTATTGAATTATATTTAATCAAAATAATCTATAGCTAACGGTTTCACCTCTCAATTTTGAGACATGAATAAAAAAAATTATACTTACTTCGATATTTCCAGAACTCATATTCGTCCTTCGGGCAAAGCATGTCCTCTGGAGTGTTTTGGTCTTGATCCTGCAATCCCACCCTAATCTGCTTTGTCCAGTACACAACTAGACCTTCTAACCTTTTTATAAGCTCTCTATCTCTATTCGCCACTTCCAGTGGAATATCGCTAACATCTCGAGGAATGTATAACACTGTTAACGCATACAATCTATAGTGGAGGTCGGTGATTTTCGCCAAAAACATGTGCAAATTGTTAGAAAAGTCATTTTTTACACCTGAAATAAATTAAGGAGAAGACAACAAACTTATTGCTAGAGAACCTGGTTAAATACTAGTATTTTTATTAAAAGGATACTGTCAGGCCAGTTAGACACAGAGAAGAACATCGGCGCGTAAACTTCTTGGATTATATTCAACATGGATCCGTCGATATTCTCATCAATCGTACCAAAGATTATAGTGTCGTAAAAATTGTCCACCTCGAATCTGTGGTTCGGTTCTCTAATAAAGTACATAAGATCGATAATCGGGCATGTTGGTACGTCTGTACTGCAGGTCAGTACATTCACATTGAAATAAATTGTAAGGAGAGGTTCGGTTTTCTCTTTAAACCAGTATTTTATTACGTTGTCACATTCGTTTGTCCAATCGCCTAACTGGAGGTCATATAAAGTCGTTATATCTTTAACATAGGATACTAAAGTGTTCAGTTCTTCTTCGGAATATTCAACTTCTTGTACAACATCTGCTTCTTCGGTCACATGGGTTGTGGTAACTTTCTCTACGAATAGAACAGGACTTTAGGTAAGAAAAATTATGTCAATTTCAAATTTAAAATCAATTCGTTACAATGAAGATAACTAAAAATGAAAGAGTATCTTGTCTAAAGATCTAGTGCCCAATATTTTTTAAAACAAAGAAGTTGTCACGGCAATCACAGTAAATAACAGTTTTGTATTTTATTTTCAAGAGACTAACAAGTTTTAATTATATCTATCATTTTATACAAATATACTTCAATTAAGAATTGTAAATAAGTTTTTAATTTGTATATAAAAATCCCAAGAGAAATCTCCATTTTAGATATACACAAATTTTAAATATGTATCCACTTTTTGAAATCACAAGGGACGTTTCAAGGTAAGTATTGGCATTTAAAATTTTTCTTCATACCTAATTTAAAGTAATGTAATCTTTTAGCAAAAAATGGAAATGTAAATGACTTACCTTCTGATTTTTCCGAAGAAAAAAGAGAATCTTTGTCTTCTCCTTCGTTCCCCTGAACGGCTGGCACTGGGGAAGGAGAAGACATTTTTTAATTTGTTTATAAAAAGTTTTTTGAAAATAAAATAGAAAACAAAATATTCTTTTATTTTTCCATAGCAACGTAACAAATTAATCACTAATGGCAACAGATACAAGTTGATAACAAAAAATCTAGAAACTGAACCTGCAAGAATTGTTTTAAATTTGACAAACAAATGTTTTTTGAAAAAAATCATGTAAGTATAAAATTTCACATCTTTGATCAAATTTAAAAACAAAAATACAAATGCTTTCACCCAAGTATAATCAATTTGCACTTATTAGTATTTGGGAAGTGTTCCCACATACCTAGGTATGTAAGTGTTCTACAATAATTGTACCTAATTAGTTAGGTTTCACTTTTAGGGAGGTAGACACCTTTGGGTACTTCAGTGCAGGCTCGAGGCTTCTAGTCCAATATTTTGAGAGAACATTATTGAGCAGATTAATTTACATTTTTGTAAATAACTTGTGTGGTAAATGGATTCAGTGGCGGCTCCTGACATTGAGAATAGGTGAAGCATATTTGCCGATTGACTAAAAAGAAAAAAAATTCTCAAATTTTCAAGGTCAAACAGTTAAATAAATCTGGAAATTTCTAGTTGCATTTGCAATATTACTGAAAAACTAACGTCACGAAAACGATTTTCATTTAGATTTTATAAAAAAAAGAAATATTAGTTCGGTTTGTGAACTTAATGATATGCAGCGAATTAGTTATATTAAAAAAAAATGTTTAGGAACTCACCGGAATCCATGTTCATGTTTATCTACTTTTTAAATATGTTTATCTACTTTTTAAATATAAGATGCATTCTTCTATCTGGTAAAGCTGCAAATTTATCAATGATGTCATCATAAAAGGGTTCGGTAATTATAAGTTCATTCAAAAGTTCTTTTTCGATGGAAATTTTTGCTAAATTCGTAACATTGTCTTCTGTCATTGAATTGTGTAGATAGGTTTTAGTTCTTTTTAAACAGGAAAAACTTCGTTCAACCGAAATACTAGTAGAGGGAATTGTTACGATCAAGCAAAATAATTTATAAGCTTCCTTTAAAATATCTCTATTCTCGTAGAGGATATCCACCACTTCTAATATCTGATCCAGCTCAATGTTGCGGTATTTTTCATCATTATAAATAAAATATAACTCCTTTTTCAGTCTTGGTAAGTCAGAGAAAATATTAGGGAAACAATTGTTTAAATTATTTAATGCTTCTGTGGGGAAGTTTTTTGAATACTCCTCAAATCGTGTTGTATCCATTAATGTAATAAAATGAATTTTATCCAAGTCTTTAAATTGTACATCAATTTGTCCCGAGATAGTATCCAAAATTTCATAATAGAGAATTTTATATTTTTCAAAGATTTCGTCGGCTGTTAAAGTTTTTTGTCCATCACGATAATTAACTGGTATTGGCACTTTTATGCTTCCTAATTCAAATATTTCTTTAAAATTCTTCTCGTTTCTTTTTTCATTTAAAAGTTCCTGGGTATTTTTAATTTGTGTTTGTGACATACCATAATTGATATTTAGTGAGTGTTTCTGTAACATATCGAAAAGAATATCAGTAATTGAAAAAATTTCGCTAAAAATGCCAATTAAGAGAGCAAATTCAAAATCATTAAACAGGTTCAAGATGGCCGTACTCTGCCTAACTGATGTTTGATCGGAAGTTATGTCATTAATAATTTCGATAAATACTTCTTTTATAGAATCCCATTCATTATTTATAACTTTCACAATATTTGAGTTAGATGTCCAGCATGTTAAAACAGAGGTAGGTATTCTTCTTTTGATGATTGTATTAGCTATGTGAGTTCTCTTTGCAAAATGATGAAAAAATGAGGGAAAACCAGTTACATTTGCAAAGAATATACGACACTTTAATATATTATTACAGCTCTGTTGTAGAACTAAATTTAAACGGTGTGCTGCACAATGTACAAAAACGGCTTGTGGGGCCTCATTTTTCATTTTTGATTGGAGATCATTTACTTGCCCTGCCATTACACTAGCCCAATCAAAACACTGTCCAACTAATTTTGAACGGTAGTCATATTTTTCAATACGTTTTGTTACTAAATTAAAAAGAGCATCAGCTGTTCGGTCAGAACTGACGTTGAAAAAGCCCAAAAATCTTTCAACTAACTTTCCCGCCCTGTTGACATATCTAATTATTATGTTACACTGGGGCTTTTGTACAATGTCCGTCGAGTCGTCCACTTGAATCGAAAAATAATTACATTCTTCGATTTCTTTATCCACATACTGATCGATATAATCCGAAATGCAATCTATTAACTCATTTGCAATTGTCTTAGAATTAGCAGAAAAAACAGAAGATATCTTCTTATAGTGCTCTTGAATGTCTGCAGGGCTTATCGATATAAACATGTCCAAAAGTTCCATAAAATTGCCACGATTGTCCGAACACTCCGATTCATTGTGGCCCCAAAATGCCAACTCTTGTCTACCTAAATAAATAACTGCACGAATAGGTAATTGCATAAACCGTCTATTTAGAAGGACGTTATCGTTAAACTGTTTAATGTATAGCCTGGAATTGTCCGTCAAATCGTCTTCGATTGTACTGAGGTTTTTTCTTAATTCTGCGAACATTAATGCACACCGTATATGTTCCAAAGAACCTTCGTGGTTACGACAGCCTCGCGTGACGTTCCCAAAATTGTTAAATCCCCCCTTATTCCACACGCTTGACTTTACACTCACAATTAAACACGGCATACAGAAAAGTTTATTTAAATAAATACTTCCACACAACCACTTATACTCCGAATACCATTCATTCCGAAACTTCCGAACGTACACTTTGTCTTTTGCCCTCCCCATTTTCTCCATTTTGAGAGAAGGCACAGGTCTCTCGCAATTTAAAAAATCCTCTTTGTCCTCAATTTTCCATCTGGAAATTGGCGTTTCTAATAAAATACATACCGGATCAAACAGAGGAAACATTTCTACAATTATTGATACAATGATGCAAAACAAATATTAAAAAAGAACCGTTATAATATCTGTGGTTATAATCGTGCAATGGGCGACGTATCCTATAAATTAAGGATAAACCACAAAACTAACACAAAATAGACGATAAACTGTTTAAAGCACAGACCAGAGACAAATATATTTTGCGGAGACAACTGTGAACTGTGGTTCAAAAAAGGCAAGCGATGGGTGCTGGCAATGCTGCTTCAATTTCCGCGTCACTCGCTTGTTCTTGTCCTTCACCAATCACCATAGAAAATATAGTATATTTTCTAAGTTCTTCACTCGTTCCCCCAACAAATGGAGTTTACACACGTGTTGACCGCCTCGTTGCCATGACAAACGCCGTAAACAACGCTACGAAGTGTAGGGAATGTCTATAGAGTCGGAAAGTCCCCATGGTTCATCGGCCGTTACGTGGAACGATAAAGAAAGTCATAGAAATCCGTGCGATAGAGAAAGATGGCTATAATAAAGGCGTATAATAGTCACCGCCCATTTCGCCCTTCCGCAAGTAAGATCCACTTCTATTTGTGGAAGGGCGAAATGGGCGGTGACTATTAGACGCCTTCATTATAGCTATCTTTCTCTATCGCAGGGATTTCTATGACTTACTTTATCGCTCTCACGTAACGCCCGATGAACTATTAGGACTTTCCGACCCTATATATCAGGGAGACTAGATATGTAGTCTCCATGGTCTATATGCGGAATATAAACTGATTTCAATCCGAATCACTTGCTTATGCCACAGAAGATAAAACATTCAGAATTATATCTTGACGTGGTTGGTGTATTCGCGCAGATCTGTGCACGCACCCCTCACTTTTGGTATACGAGCAATGTGGTGTAGGTGTAGTTACAAGACCTTATTCTAAGGTTACAAGAGCATTTTAGCCATTTTATGAGCTTGTTTGGTGTTTGTTATCTCATGCGTCCGTACGTTAACCATTGGCGTCGTTTTACGTGTTTTATTGTGTAAATTTATGTGTTATGTTGTAAATAAATCATTGGTCGAGTGTATATAATATTATTCTATAAGGTACTCTAAAATTAAGGACAAATTAAGTGCCAAGAATTGTAATAGTCGGCAGTCTTACTCAATTGAGTTATTCTTTGTTTTTTTTTGTGATAACAATATTACATGCATTGTCCAATACGGAAATACACCCAATATAAAAACAATTCAGATAAAAGTTATTTGGTACATTTTACACATGCCAAAGATTTATTTGGTGGTGTAAAAAATGTTAATAGAATAGAGGAGGTAAAATAAACCTGAAGGCGGTGAACGCAGCTCCATGAAAAATAAAAAGTGAATTTGACATTTGAAAATTTGACAGCTGTCAAAAGGCTGTTTCATAAATTAATATTCTGTTTATAGATCAAACTTATAAATGTTCAGATAAATTAATTGCAGATATTGTAACACAAATTTACAATGGAAAGGAATAAACCACCTTCTGGGACAAGAGGCCCGAAGGCAAAAATTACTCAACAACTACCAGATTCTTTTATAGCATTAGGTGCAAAGCAATCTTCCCCTCGAGATGATCCCAAAAGGGCAGTGCCTTTGCCTAAATCAACTGTTGGTTCACATTTAACGCCTAGTACGAGCAAAGGTAAAATACTATTATATTCTACCTGGCTTCTTTTTAACATATTTTTTATTTACAGCTCCTGTGGACAAATTAAAAAGAGAAGGAAGTTCTTCTGGAATAACACCTGTTCCTCCATCTAAAAAAATAAAAGTGAATTTTCTGCCTGGAACTGCTGGATCTGGGTTGTTGCCTATAGATCGTATGGGATCTGGAACTACTGGTGTTGAGCCGTGGGAAGCATTGGCAATGGATTGTGAAGTTAACGAGTTGTTTGAGAATGTTGTTACTCAAATAGCCAATGAAAGTATGGACAAGGCTGTAAGTTCACTTTTTTTTTTTTTTAGTAAAGTGTGTTACTAATTTGTACGTACATTGTTTTTAGGTTGGTTATATTTTGGGTTTAATAAAAAATTTAAAAAACCAACGGTCTAAACCTTGTAAAGTAGCATATACAGTATTTTTTCTTGTTGGAACGTGTAAACCATCTGTCTATACTAATGAGTATGTCATCAATGCTATGTTAAGCGTTTTAAGAAGAGATGTAAATGCAGGGTTGAAAGGAATCAACAAAAGCAATCCCCAAATTCACCAATTATTTTTAAATTTAATTTGTCATGCTTACTCGGACATAAATAATTGGCCTGAGATGTTTGTAAAAGTAAGTATATATGGAGCAATAAATCACTTATCTGATATTTAACTGAATTTATTTTAAGTTATACGTAGAAGATGCTGTTGGAGATAGAGTGTTTGTTGACAGTCCTCTTTGCAAGCCATTTGTTGAAAATATTGTAACGGCATTCAACACAAAAATTCCCCCATCTTCATTATTAAAATCAGAAATGCTGTCTACTACGAGAGACACTTCTAGTCCATTAACTATTAACAGTTTTGACGAGGATGAAGGTAATCTTCTAATAACTTATAACTACAATTTTATTTTAACAATATACAGCTTGTGCGCATTATAATGCCCAATACAAAATATGTGACGAAAAGAATTTGTGAAATAAACATACGTGTTCCTAAAAGTTAAAAGATAAGGGATAATGTTGTTTATTAATATTTTCTTGTATATCTTGATTTATATTTGTCAAATATTAAACGTATGACACAAATACTGTGGATTCGCGGTGTGTTCAAAACACAAACTTCATTTTTACTGTTAGTAATTTGTAATTAAAGTTTTTAGTGAACAGAGAGCTATTGTGGAGTCCTGGACACCAAAAATATATCCCAGGTTCACTCAGTCCCAAGAGAAAGTGGAACAGATAGTTCTGGAGGCGATAAAAGAGCAGCTGGCGAGAAGACAACAACCCGAAACTATAACCAAGAATTTCGTAAAATTTTTAAGCATAGCCTGCGGACTGGTAGAAATACGCATTATAGCGGTGTCCCGCATTGAAACTTGGCTGCACAATCACAAGCTCATGAAACCCGCTCAGGAGTTACTGGCGTATTTATGTTACAATTGCTCGGCTAGCTCCCAAAGGGATTTGGAAGTTATAGCCCAGCTGAGTAAGTTACGGTTGAAAAATAAACCGATGCTGAACTATTTTAACAACTGTTTGAGGGAAATGGTGTATTCGTCTCCGGAAAACTTATATCCCTTACTAAAATACACCATTTATAATGAGTTGAGTAATGCTAGGAATTCAAATAATTTAATAGTGGTTGGTGCATTGTTTCAAGTGGCCCCCGATCAGAGCGCTGACGCTTTCGCTGATATTTGTTTGGTAAGTAATTTTGATTATTGTACATACTTATGTATGTTCTGACAAGACGGAAATTTTAAAGAAAAAAAAAGTTCTTAACACACTTCAGTGCTAAAGTATTAGGTAGTATAGCCATAAATAAATTAAACCACAAATTTTGATCTGATACATTTTTTCTGCTTGCAGGAATTACTTTTAAACAAAGACGATTACTTGCGATCTCTCAGAGCCCTTTTGAAAGAAATAAACAGAGTATTACGACACGAATTGAACTTGCTCAGCGTGGTCCATGCGATTTTGCGCGAACGTAAGGAATTCAGCAACAGCGTGAGGGATCACGAATTTCGCGAGAGAATTTTCTTATCTCTAGCAGACCTCGCTTGTATGTGCATGCTACTTTGTGTTAGTCCGCAGGTCAGGGACGCAGCGACGCAAAGCAAACGCGACGTACCCGTCCTAAAAACGTTTCAGATGCAGGTTAGCAACGTACAGAGGGAATGTGTCACTTGGTTGCACGATTCGGCTTTAAGGGTTTATAGACCGAGTATAAACGATTTCCACCACGTCTTGCATAAGGTTTTGTTTCTGGAGCAAGCAGAGCAATACTACAAAGTCGATTCTTGGCCGGGGGAGAACGAAAGGAACTTGTTTTTGCGGTTGGCTAGCGAGGTGCCTTTGTTGCAAGCTACCCTCCTTAGGGTGCTACTGATTGGAATTTCCAAAGAGCACCCGATAAACTCTACGGAGATCATTGAAATTACCGATCAGTTGATTAAGAGGGCGGCTAATTTACCACAGGATTGTGCTCCTCCATTAGTCATCGATAAGGTTGAAATTATAGACTTTTTCTTCAATTTGTGCAGTTACAATTATCCAGAGAACATAACGTTGCCGCTCGGTTATGTCCCTCCTAAGTTGGCTATATCGAATCTTTATTGGAAAGTTTGGTTGATTTTACTGATTTTGGCAGCACACAATCCGCTTAGTTTCGGAAGTTTGGCCTGGAATAAATATCCTACGCTTAGGATGTTCATGGAAATGTGCATTACAAAGTAAGTAAATAAGATTTAGTTGTGAGCTTCAATTTCTATTGATTTTGTAATCGTAATGTTTCTTAAGGGTGGTGTATAAGTTCTTTATTTATTGATTGTTATGTACATTCATGTTTTTCTAAATCTGTCCTTTCACAAGTCCATTTTGAGAACTACTGGCCTCACAGAATTTGCCAAGTCATGTGTCAACAAAATAATTTAGAATGAGATATATAACGAGCGTTCAGATAAAAACGTGGTCGAAGTTGGCTCTGACACATTGGACGTAGGGAGTAGCTTATAGCGACTAACTTAACCTCATTTCTCAACGAGCTGTATAGCAGCTGTCAGTTTCAATAACGTTAATGACTATATAACTTTATTTTAAAGAATAATCGTGATAACAATAACAAACAATTAAAGGAGCTGCNACTTGTTTTTGCGGTTGGCTAGCGAGGTGCCTTTGTTGCAAGCTACCCTCCTTAGGGTGCTACTGATTGGAATTTCCAAAGAGCACCCGATAAACTCTACGGAGATCATTGAAATTACCGATCAGTTGATTAAGAGGGCGGCTAATTTACCACAGGATTGTGCTCCTCCGTTAGTCATCGATAAGGTTGAAATTATAGACTTTTTCTTCAATTTGTGCAGTTACAATTATCCAGAGAACATAACGTTGCCGCTCGGTTATGTCCCTCCTAAGTTGGCTATATCGAATCTTTATTGGAAAGTTTGGTTGATTTTACTGATTTTGGCAGCACACAATCCGCTTAGTTTCGGAAGTTTGGCCTGGAATAAATATCCTACGCTTAGGATGTTCATGGAAATGTGCATTACAAAGTAAGTAAATAAGATTTAGTTGTGAGCTTCAATTTCTATTGATTTTGTAATCGTAATGTTTCTTAAGGGTGGTGTATAAGTTCTTTATTTATTGATTGTTATGTACATTCATGTTTTTCTAAATCTGTCCTTTCACAAGTAGATTTTGAGAACTACTGGCCTCACAGAATTTGCCAAGTCATGTGTCAACAAAATTATTTAGAATGAGATATATATATATTTTTATTTTATAATTTTACTTTTTATTCCCAATTTTTCCCCACACTGTATACTGTACTACTGTACTACTGTACTTTTAAAACATAGTATTTTTTATCCTATCCAATTTATTATTTGAACAGTTTTTCTATATCCCAAACAATGACGGCTTTATTGTAGTTTGCCTTACCTGTATGCGGAAAAAATACGTAGGTATTAAAAAAATTAATTTTTTTTTCAGCCACTTTTCGTTTCCACCTCCAACAATGACTTCCCTGGAAGAAGACTTCCAAACCAAAGAACAACAAATCATAACACTGGAAAAACAAACGATCTTGGAATTCGAATCACACCTCGCAGCGGCGAGTACAAAAGTAGAGATAAACGAACAGACAAGTCTACTCCTTCCGCAATTAATGGAACTGCGACCTCAAGGAGACGCACGACGACCACCTCAGACCATATTGGACCAGCTGCAAGTCCTAAACAACACTCACAGACTGGGTCACCTTTTCTGTCGTTCACGCCATCCAGATTTCCTCCTAGACATAATGTCTCGTCAGGGCGGCACTGCCCATATGCCTTGGTTAGCCGAGTTGGTACACAGCTCGGAAGGAGTCTTAGCGCATCTACCCGTTCAGTGTCTGTGTGAATATTTGTTGTCTACGGCTCCGGCTGAAAAATTAACGAAACACGGGCAGTTGTTGGCGCATTTACGGACGGTCGTTAACGGTAACGATCCCCAGATCGCTTGCGAGGTCTTGGAATACTTGTTCCGACGCTTAACGTCGGACCACGGCGCAAGCCGAACCCAAGCCACGAAAGGCTTGGGCTTGATTCTTGCCCCTAGTGAAGACATCGAGATAACCAACGAGAATCACACGCAGTGGCTGACGCAGTACATATCTCAGTTTACGCATTTCGCCCTGATCAAACCAGTTCTCGTGCAGTTTTTAAGGCAGGCTTTGCAGATCGAAACAAATCCGGCTAGAGTCTCCAGTTACATCAACTTCTTGTCCACTCAAGATTGTAACGAGTCGTTCGTGGATTTGAACGAGTTAATAAGCGATCTGTCTTCCGTTATAATAGAAAGACACAGTGTCGCTTCTTACGTTTTGCCGGGCGATGATAACGTTACCCTGAAAAATTTGCTGCAAATATTTTGCCTGTACACGCAGAAGGCCAAAGAAAACGGGGAGGAGTCCTATTCGATTCATCAAACGTACGGTAACGAATACGTTATCGTATCCTGGGCCACGGGAGAGCAGTGTGCGATGCAGCCGTTGGTGATTCACGCGGCTATTGTTCTCTTAACTTATGGACCCCTGGAACAGTACGAGCCGTTCAATCTCTTACTTAACAGTTGGTTTCCGGAAAATATGGAACATCCTCGTGCTTACTCCCCTGACACATCGGAAACCACTTCTTACTTACCGGATTGGATGAAGTTGAGAATGATCAGGTCGAACGTCGCGCGTTTGGTAGATGCCGCCATCGAGAAGTTAGAGCCGCCAAAATTAGTACTGTTTATACAGTCCTTTGGTATTCCGACGAGTTCGATCAGCAAACTGCTTCATACACTGGATAAAGCCACTATTTTGGATCCGAAACTTGTGGTGGATTCGGTGTTGGATAAGACCTACATGATTCAGTTGGTCGAGGTGCAAAATAAGAGGGGAGCTCTGGGCGGGGAGACTTTCGTGAAAGCTATAGAAATGCAGATGCCGGTGGTGCAAGACGTGGAGATCAAGGTTGACGTGGATATTAAAAAACAGTTGCCAGTACTGTCAAAAAAGCAACAAGCTGTGCCAAGTGAAGAGGAAGTTGTGCAGCATTTGAACAATTTGTTCAACCCGCATTATCAGGGGAATAGGAATAAAATAATCCTGTCTTTGATTAAGGTAAGTCCGACATTATTTTGTTTTCTTTTTATCACAGCTAATTTAGATGAAACAAAATGTAAAGTATTACGAAATATACAGGATGTGTCATTTAACACTCCCGCTGCCAATGTCTCCGAAATGAATAAATTTATTTTAGTTCCGGAAATTGGGGGTGTTAGGTCTCTCGAATGACTTCAAATTGTAGTTACAATTGTTAGTTCAAATCTTTCTGTGTCTTTGAAATGAAAAAAGATTTTTTACGAAACTTTCAGAATATACAGGGTGTGCCATTTAACACTCCCGCTGCCAATATTTCCGAAATTAAGTTTATTTTAGTTTAGGAAATTGGGGTTGTTAAGTCCCTCGAATAGCTTCAAATTGTAGTTAGAATTGTTAGTTCAAATTTTTCTGTATAGATGGCGTGGCGATACTAAAAAATTTTTTGATCCCTGGAACGTGGAAATGCAGTCCATCTGAAAGATTGTTAAATTTTGAGTAATTTTTGTAATATAAAGTTTTCCCCAATATTTACTTGTTTTCGAGATATGTCNTCAACAACAGGAAAAAGATTATACAATGGTAAATTGTATAACTAGTATAGTTAAATTGAAAGTCGGAAACTGATAAACCTGTAATTATTGGAAAACTAATATGTGTCATCTGGCATTGTTTTATTTTAAACAAATGACATGAGTCACCAATAACTATTTATTTTATTTACCATTATACTTTTTTTTTCTGAAGTTGATCATTCGTTTTTTTTATAACTTATTGTTTGTTAGTTTATGTGATGTGAATAAAGCTCTTATAACAATATTTTAAAAGAATATTTTCTCTCAGTGTGATTTAAATAAAATAATAGATTTTCCTAGTATATCATACATTGCATACTGAAGTCGACATGTCTCGAAAACAAGTAAATATAGGGAAAAACTTTATATTATAAAAATTACTCAAAATTTAACGATGTTTGAGATGGACTGCATTTCCACATTCCAGGGATGAAAAAATATTTTAGTATCATCACGCCATCTACACAGAAAGATTTGAACTAACACAGGGTTCGTAGCGGCCGGGAAAACCGGGAAAAGTCAGGGAATTTGTTATTCTTCATAAAAAACAGGGAATAGTCAGGGAATTTAAAAAATATTCATGAATGTCAGGGAATTTGATGTTTGCAACTGGAAATTTTGTGAAAGCCGGCTCTGGGTTCTTGAAAGAGAAAACTATTTGTGGTTTTGAAACCTTTATAAGAGGTTGTTAGGGTATAAAAAAGATTATATAGGCCAGTCGAGAAAAAATTTAATGCATAAACACCAATTAGTATGTAAAAATGAACTACAAGTGACCTGGATTTTTTTTTATAACTCTGTAACAGTTGTAACTACAATTTGAAGTTATTCGAGGGACCTAACAACCCCTGTTTCTGGAACTAAAATAAATTTCTTCATTTCGAAGATATTGACAGCGGAAGTGTTAAATGGCACACCCTGTATATGTGAATTTTATGTAAGATGATACAAACTGAAAACGCATCAATGTTAAGTGTTTCACTATAAAACTATTTAGATGGCTAGGTATTTAAAGTTTAATAAAGCCTAATTATGTATGAAAATATACTGTACAAACTTACTTCAAGATTCTCCCGTAAAACACACAATTTCATTTACTAGTGTTTCCGTAACTAGCTAAAAAATTATAAATCACGCAAACACACAAATACTAGTTAAAAAACCAAAATTCTTTTGAGTAATTTTCAAAATAACCGGCATAATGTAGATTATTTTATGACATGACGTGACAATAGATCTTATAAACTATGGATGACACATCACAAATGGATCTACTTACGAAATAAGAGACATTTGAGCTACTGACACTGTTACATATGAATATTCCAAAATAGTCCTAATAAGCTTATAATTAAATTTCTTAAGTTAAGCGGCTGAAAAAAATCAAAATGCGAGAGTATGGAATTGCTGGTCTATATATTATACAGGGTGGTTCAGATTTTAATAGACAAACATCGGGAAAGTACTAAACAACAAAAAATTAACATTTTTTTAAATATCTGGAAAACCGCTTCATCAAATTTATTTAAATTTGGTACACATTTTTAAAAAAATATTTCTAGTTCTGTATGCACGCAGTCTATATTAAAAAATCTGTGGCGGAGAAACAAAGATGTCGATTAAAGTAAAACTTCTGCGCCATTGAATTAATTGGTAATATGAATACATTTTTTATTTATTTTCCTCTTTTGTTACTGTCGAAAAGTGAATGGTTTATGAGTGATGAGACATATTATGAAGCGGTTTTCCAGATATTTAATTTTTTTTTTTTTTGTTAATTTCAACTTCCTGTATTTCATAAAATGTGGTTTTCTGCGCCTATGTTCATACAGCAAAGTGATGTTAATTTTTGTTATTTAGTACTTTCCCAAAGTCTGTCTATTAAAATCTGAGCCACCCTGTATGTATGTTGTCCTTTTTTTATATATGATATTTTAAGAATGAAGGTAATTTAATGTTTAACGGGAAACTCCTGAGGTTAAAAGACGGCTTAAGTGGTACTTCTTTTCAATCTACAGGGTGTTAGAATTTAAAAAAATTTTTGGATTTTCGGAAAAAAACATATTTATTCTATAAGATATGTGTACCTATTGTCCTCTAGTAATGAGCAGAAAATCAGAGATATTTTTAAAATTCTCACCTTTTCAGCTTAATTAGTGAAGTGGTTTTCATGTTATTATTGCCTAAATTTTTTATTTGTTTTTTCTAAACTTTGTCTTATTTTTAATGAAACGCGTTGTATTGTGCTGTTTCAGAGTATAACATTTAAGAAATCCACAACGGAGACTATTTTTAACTATGTGAAATTAGTGCCTATAAATTTCACTCTTCCCATTGTTTTACAATATAATTCATTCTCGACACTATTCCGTTTAATTTTTACACCAGAAAACACCAATCAGGAGAAGGTAGATTACGTTGCACAGCTTCTGAAGGTGATACCATCAAAAGACAATTGCACCGCCACCATCTTAAGCCAATACATTAAGAACAGCAGTAAAAGCGAAGTTAAGATGGAAATCGACATCGACCCTCGGAATATTATTAAAAGTGAACTGATAACTAATAAGAGATATGAATCAATTTTAAACTGCCCGGATAAATTGGGAGAAAAGTTAGGTAAGATGTTGCTTGAAAATGAAGCAAAGGCAGAAAAGACTGGACTTCTAGTAGATTGGTTGTCGGCCGTAGAATTGGAGATCGCTAGTTCGGATAAACATAAATTACAGGTTTGTACATATTGATACAAAAAGGTTTGTCACCTATTTAGGGTATTTATTTCAGGATTGTTAGTTTCACTGGATTTTAAGTCAATCTTATGTGAAGAAAACCAATCTTTATAATTTGGAACGTTTCGTTTTTTTATTACAGCATCTTCAGGACTAGGAATAAAAATTTTATTACACATACAGCAATTTAATTAACTTAATTGTATATTCATTGATATTTTAGAGTTGGAGATTGATAAAATATGTAATTAGGCTAATTTAATGTTTATGATGTAATAAAACAACGAAATGTCGACGATTATAAGATTGATTTAAAATCCCTTAAAGCAAACAGTCTTGGAATATGTATGTTTTGTTTGCAGATGGACTTACTATTTTCCAAACAAAAGTTGCCATTTAGGCCCCTGCTCATGTCGTTATTGTTGCAAAGGGCAAGTTGGAGAATCTTGCACGGTATAATGTCTCACCTTTTAGTGGATGATATAAGCCACATATGCCCAGTGTCGGCTTTGGAATTCTTGATGGCTCTTACAAAAAGTCCTAAACTGTGGCAAGGAAGAGACAAAGCCATACCAAAGCATTACCACTTCGAGGACATTCTGCAGCTTACGTACAGTCAGGTAGAGAACATTTTTTAACTCGTATACTGTCTTCGAAGTTTGAATTAGAGATTCCCGTTCTTATCTAAATTAACAGTTTAGGATGCAAAAGACATATATAGGCCAAGCAAATAAAATTTTTACTCGAAAAATGTCCTATCCTATCAAGACATCTCTCGTCTCGTGAGTCAAAAAATTTTATTAGCTAACTTTTCTATTTAAACAAATAAGTGAGGAAAACAGTTTTTTCACTTTGCAGAGAAAACCATCAATTTTAGCGAAAAGTGACTCTCAGACAGCTGGTAGGGAGTAAAATTATCTACAAAATGGTACTTGTTAAATTAAAATCGGTTAATAAACAAAAAAGTTATTGCAAAAAAACAAGAAAAGTGCCCATTTTTTAATTTGTTTATAACTATCGCATTTATTGTTAAAATTTTATAAAACCTATGACAAGTTGAGGGTTTTGTCATAATTCAAAAGTGTGCCAAAAGTGGGCGCTGTAGGTGCAATAGTTTTCACACAATTCTATTTGTTCATAACGGAGGCTCCAAAAGTTATGTACTTTAAGTCTCTGTACAGGCGTTAATTTTCAACCAAACATGATTCTGAAAGCGTCATTGAAATCTTAAAGACGTAATTAAGCGACCTATTAAAAAATATCACAGTTTTTTTCATTTAAAAAGTTATTTTTTTTTATATATTAAGTAAACTAAAGTAAACTTATTTTTTCAATATTTTGTTAGTTATTTAATTACGATTTAAATGTAAAATTAAAGTAAAAATTCACAAATTATTTTCAAATTATTATTTATTGTTAAAAGATTTAAAAAAGAATAAAAAACATTGAATTTATTGCAAAATTCTCAAAATTAAAAAATATTAATAAAAATAATTGGGTCGATAAAATTACAATTTTAACTTCTTGAAATTTTTATATATAAAGTTTTTTGTTATATTTATTACTAATTTTATACAAAAAAATTTTTGCAATATAATCAAAATTAATTCAAAAAATATTAATCACAACCATTTTCAATAACAGATATAATGCAATATAATACAATTTTAAATTTAAATTTTTTCTATTTTTATGAAAAATAACTTTTTAAATGAACGATATATCTTCATTTATTTATTTAATAATAATAAAATAATTCCGAAATTGAAATTTTAATTAATATTTGGTTTTACAATAATTTTTGACATTTTGGTAAATTAAAAAAAAATGCATTTTTTGTGGGGTTCAGGGCTATTCTACGAATTCGTAAATATGCCCATTGTTATTTTTTCGTCTAGCTACCCCAGTTTTAAAAAAAGAAGTTTCTACAATGAATAGAAACCGAGATATTGCAAAATTTTACAGCGCGCATCAATTTGAACTTTGGATTTCACTTTTCTCGCGCGCGCGACTCGCTTGGACGAGCTCCCCCTCCACCACGCCGGACATTTTACTTAGCAAGTACCTTCTCTTTAAAGGTCTCGAGAGTCGTTAATTTTCCACATTTTGCAATGCAATTCACGGGAAATCGTAGTTTACGTTGTAAACTTTATTTTGCGAAAAATTGGAGTATTAATGTTTATAAACAATTGCGCTACGATTTTAAAAAAAATTCTTATCTTGGCTCCTGTTGGTCGTAGAGGGTGCTTTTTTTTTTTTAAATTTGTATTTTTTTGCCAGCTTATCCATTGCATCTATTTTCGGTGAGTTAGCATAAGTAGCAACAATATTATTCAAATTGTTTATAAGCGAAAAACGCACGGTTTTTTAATGCACAATTTGAGAATGTTAATGTCAAAAAAACGGTGATATTTTTTAATAGGTCGCTTAATTACGTGTTTAAGATTACAATGACGCTTTCAGAATCATGTTTGGTTGAAAATTAACGCCTGTATTAAAGGCTTAAAGTTCATAACTTTTGGAGCCTCCGTTATAAACAAATAGAATTGTGCGAAAACTATTGCACCTACAGCACCCACTTTAGGCAGACTTTTAAAGTATGACAAAACCCTCAATTTGTTTTATTATTATTTTAACAATAAATGCGATAGTTATAAATAAATTAAAAAAATTGGTACTTTTCTTGTTTTTTTTGCAAAACTTTTTTGTTTATTAACCGATTTTAATTTAACAAGTGTCATTTTGTAGATAATTTTACTCCCTATAAGCTGCCTGTGAGTCACTTTTCGCTAAAATTGATGGTTTTCCCTGCAAAGTGAAAAAACTATTTTCCTCACTTATTTGTTTAAATAGAAAAGTTAGCTAATAAAATTTTTTGACTAACGAGATGAGAGATGTTTTGTATTATGTTCCTTTGGACAATTTTACAATAATCTCGCGGATAGGATTTTTTTCAAGTTTCTCTTTCATTTTCGCTAATTTTTCTGGTGTAATATGCAAGAACAGTGACAGTACCTCTTCCTTATGGGCATTATCTGTTGCAATGTTTATATTAAACGTTCGAGTCAAGTTCAATGACCTTAGTATGTTACAAGTTATTTAGCATCAGGTGAATATTTTGTTAATTGCATAAATATGAATAAATATGTAAAACTGAAGACTTAAAATCTACAACTTCATTAGAAACTTACGATAATATTTTCTGAGATTAAACACAGGTTTGGCTTCGGTAATAATTTTATAGAGTCGCAATTATTTCATGCAGATTATTTTGGTTAAAATGGAATATTCAGTTCAACTAGTTAAAACTTGAATTTTTTTTAAATAAATACTTTTTTTGGAATAGTGAAGGTCCAACTGCTATGTTACAGCTTTCTATTAACATTACCTTGCGTTTTACTTTTTTTTTTTTAATAAAATTGTTTTTAGATTATTCCATAATTTTGTAACTGAAGTGTAATCGAAAAAGTATTTCTGTTGTAGGCTTTAATACTCATAAGCTATATTATAGAAGAGGCAAAGCTTAACCGAGACGATTGGAAGAGCAAGATGGAGTCACGCGTGCAGCTTCTATTAAAATGCCTGAGCAATAACGCGGTATCTATAGTAAAGTCACTCCTGACACAATCGGACTCTAACATCTACTCTCGCGAGCTGCTCTTAATGATTTACATGTCCCTACCCTATTCCGGACAAGACGACATAGATCTTAAACCGGATATATGCCTGGACGTGTACACGAAGAACAGCCCGAGCACCATCGATGAAATTTCTCACTGCCTGTTCAGCGCCATGGCTTCCACCCCTAGGAATAAGGACTGGCCGAAGAAAAGCCAAGATCTAGAACTGTGCGCTCGGAAACTTGCAGCTACGCACCCCGTTTTAGTTCTGCGGCAGTTGCCTATGTTGGCGGGAAGCCTCAAGGGAAGAGCACAGTACGATTGGACGGTGCTGAAGAGCAGGGGTCACTTCATGCTTTTCGGGCAGGTGTTGGGCTTAATGGAATTGTTGCAGCCGTACATTTTCGACCAGAACATGACGTTGTGCGACTTGCTGGATTCGTATTTCGTTTTGTTGCAATTCCATGGAAACAGTAAGGATTTGAACGTACTTGTCAACAGGATTGTGACTTTTGTTCAGAATTGGATGGTTAGGGACGTTAAGGGAGCTTCGAAATATCTGCAGGAGCATGGGGGAGTGTTAAAGTAAGTGTTGAAGTTTTAGTACGATTTATATACTTTTTTTATTGCCCTGTTCCTGCTATCTGGAAATTATCAATAATTACAAATTAACAAAATTTACAAAGGTTTTTTATGCAGTGAATCTGGATCCAACCTTAAAATCACTTCATCAGGTTTTTGAGATCTCGTAACCTAAAAATACAAAAATTAAGTTTTTTAGCGACATCTGAGGTTATCTAACATTGCTACTATTCCCCTTCAAAATACATTATGTTTGTTATAGCTGTTTTACATTGTGAATTTATTCGCGAATAAATTGTCAATATAAAACAGTTATTAGAAAATTAATCAAGACCTAGGAATGAAATGATGGTGACGCTTTCAAAAAAATCTCCCATCGTCCTTATTTTTAGTAACTGTAATTTAAATCTATTGAAGTAGGTGCATTCAAAACAAAACTTGTAAATGTTTTTTATTTTGTCTATATTTCGCATTTAATGTTTCAAACATTATTCGTCAAAAAGAATAAGATACAGTATGGTCAGTATTAGGGTGGGTCAAAAAAATTGACTATATTTTTTTTACTTTATACTCTGAAAATAGGTTGCTAGACACCTCTAGAAAATTCTCTCCAAATAGCTTTTAATCTTAATAGGAAGGTCCTCCGCTTTACAGTTTTCCATTTTTTCCTCAGTATTAGAAAAAAAAAATCATATATCTTTGTCAACTGTTTGTTAAAAATATCACTCCTCGCATACTTGTAGGAAATTGAACGCTCTGCAAAAAAGGTCTCTTACAATTTTTTCGTAAACCTCACCGTTTAAAAAATATTAAAGGTTGAAGTTTGATTATTTTAAGACAAATTTCTGTTTTGCTTATGAATTTTATAACTCATTAACAAAAAATCATTATGAAATGTGCAATTCATAGTTTTGTAGGAAATTAACTGTTCTACAAAAATGGTCTCTTATGATTAGTCGATTAAACAAAGCGTTTAAAAGATATTCATCGTCAAACTTCAATGCACGTCAATTTTAACAGTTTTTGATTAATAATTCGGAAAATTTCAATTTAGTTAATGAGTTTCAGGGAAATTTATACAAATTTGAGTTTCTATGAACAGAGAAATGTTTTAAACTATTTTTTCTA